GAATCCAGAAATGTGATATCGCTGTTAGTCTTAGACACTAGATAGAAGCACGTTGTAGATAACAAAACACCATATACTAATTACGAGATCGGCCTTTCCTTGCGTGAACTTCTTGAGCAAGCTGCAGCTCTATCTAGTACCGAAGGAGCCTTGTCGTTGTAGTCATGCATGCTGCTAGACGCAGATGACCTAGAAGCCCATATGGTAGCCATTGCAGTAGCCAGTCAGATTAAAAGAACGTGCCTCATAGATCATCGATATGAAAGGTCTAATTCGCTGTTAGGAGATCGCCCGGAGCTCTTGGAACATCTCTGGAAATTGTCGTAGCAATGCAACTTGCCGCTTTCTATTCATTGGGAGTAAGTTGAAACTGATTAAGAAATAATTGGTAAACATCGCTTGATATTGATCGACTGACGGTATCCCTTTGATAATAGATGCACCCTTGCTACCAACCAGTAAGAGTCCCAGCATCCTAGAGCTGCATTGCGATGTTGCTATATTCTGGGGCAGCTCCTTATGACTTGCATACGAGTGAGGAGATAACGTGAAGCGTCGCCGCCTCACCAAGTAATCTGAAACCTAGTAAGTAAGCTATATGTATGCCTCAAGAAGGAAAAGAAGACTAGCGCTTGACCAAAAGGTCATCTTCCCTTTCGAGTCAGATGCAGAAACGACACTCGCCTCGGGCTTCTTGCCGGTCAGTCCTAGAGGAAGATATGGATCCGCCGAGAGTTATATCTGGGGTACAGCATCCATAAGCCGAAGAACCGCAAGGGGAGAACGGGCAATTTCGTACGCTCATAGAGGCGCTTACAGCGTCAAGGAGCTAGTCGATGGGGCATATAAAAATGAGGCATCACAAGATAGGGTCCGGATTGCGTGTGTATATTACTAGATGGGGACGAAGATAAAAGAGCGAGCAAGTCTGACGAGAGCTAGAGCCATGCCGATATTGAACGAGAACCAGTCGATGGCATATGTCTAGGTTGTAACCCATGTTAGTGGCAGAAGGTGAGTTGAGGTGTGTCGATGTAAATTAGCTGTTTTGGGCTATGATTGGTTGATTCATGCGAACCGGAAAAGTATTGAAGTGGAGAAAGTTGTTTCGAGGTTGAATTTCCATTGGCTATAAAATAAGAAGAATCAGGGAAGCACCACGATGATATTTCTGGGGACATCTAAGTCTAGATGTGAGCGAAACGGAAAATAAGGATAAGAACAAGCGAATGATAATTCGAGAAAAAGGAAATTCAATTCGTGTTTCATGAAAGGAGCCTCAGATCCCCCAGGGGGTTTAACAAAAGGGGGAACATCTCCAGTCTCCTATCTGTTTACTTCCTCATCTGGAATATTACCATCACCCCATTACGGCACCGACTAAGACTAAACTTAGTTCCCGCTCCGGGATATCGGCCTTTGGTTACACTGCGAGTCCAGACCAAGCCTTTAACAGATTGTATATTAAGGTCCCCGGGGTTCTTCGATCGTATAGTGACCTAGCTAATAGAGAAGCCCGCCAACTCCTAAGATCCACTAGGCCGATCTTGAGCGAATTGAGGCTTCGTCACGTCGACGTATGCCTTAGAAAAGACAGCCGGCTGTTGGAAAGGGCCACTCCTAGATGTATAACATCCTTGGGTGTGAGTATCATAAATTAGCCCATGTTACATGATCGAGTAATGCCGAATCTAAGCTTCCAGCAGAGAATCAGTCATGTGGCCCGAATTCGAGACGCTCTCAACCGAGAGGAGACAGGATCAACAAGGTCACCCAAAAACGATTGGAGATATCTGCTCACCTGTTTCGGTCAGTAGAGATATGATACAGATAATTGGATTGGCTAAAAATATGATAGTTGAATGAATTTGATGATTGGTAAAGGTAGCAAAAAAAAGATACAATTCTCGGTTGCCGAAGTCACTTGACCGTCAATGCCGGAGTGGCTCGTGCATGCCTTGTCCTGGTCCGTGCATCTCGATTCTATCTTAATCGCAAGTACCGGTACGTATCCAAGTTTCTTGCGCATCGGCAGGTTAGCAACGGCCTCTCCGTGGTCCACAATTCCGTTCCTTGCCGCCTCACTACTTTCACCTTTTTTATAGCGACATAGTGACAAGCCACGTCGCTTCTAAATTCTCCGCGCAACCTTAGGTTCCTGTTTGCTTATCTACAGATCGTTTCATGACGTCCCGTCGTAACGGATCTTGTAATGGATCTTCTCAGGAGTAGGCATGTGGAGATTCAGGTTATCTCCACTAACGTGCGCTTCTTCACGGACCAACAAAAGCCTATTAGAACCGCGAGGTCGGGCCACAAATGAGAGGCAACCCAATGGAGACGTTTCTATGGTCTGCCTCGTCTATACCATCTACCGTGGTAAGATCCGAGGGCATATTTTCGTGCATCATATCTGCTTACATGCAGTTCAATGGTTCTACACATGATGCATCGGTGGAGACGTAGATGCAAGAGCAGCCGCCGGGTCGATTAAGTCAGCCATCCCTTAAAGCCATCACGAGCTTAACGCGGCCAGTTTGGGAGGGCGGCATTAACCCCTTCTAAGACGAGACGCGCAATAGCGATATCATTAGAGGAACGGTGGCCAGTAAATTATATTGCATTAAAATACTATATTGCCTATGTATGTACGTTGGGTAAGAGCCAAGTCAAGGCTCAACGTGGTCTTTTACTTACCTAAAGTTAGGTACCTCGTGAATTCAGGAGCCAGAACACGTCTTCACCTATTCCTTTGGTTACCAAGTTCCCAGTTTCTTAATTAGCCCATCTCGAGATAGCGCAAGAGAATATGGAATCATAGGATCGTATTAAATGTGGCTTACCCGATTCCGAAGCCATTGCCGCGAAGTATGCAATAATAGAATACTAATAAGGACATCAGTGCCCATATGATGATGAATATGGACCTACCTAGTGTACATGTGAAAATCGACTCGATCTTTACATACATATCGCTGTGGCGCAAGCTCGGCATTAAACAAGGCCCTTGCTTTTCTGTAGAGATACTTCAATGTTCCCATGCGCGGTAGTTGAGGTCACATCTAGTTCCACATAGATATGGATATGTAACTAAAAGTTGCATGTTACCAACTTGTGGAAATTCCAACTGTAAGGGCATGTGTTATACATAGACATCCCGTTACGAATAATTCCGCCAAGTTCCCAGGCGAATGGATAGGCGTTGTTCTGATACATGACACTTAAGATGATCCTCACTGGAATAGTCAGTTCAAATCCATGTGAAGCTGGAAAAAGACATACATATGTAGGTACGTACCTAAAACTAGGTTAGATGGATACATGTGTTTGCATGCGGGGACCTTGTCGATCATAAAACATGCCCCCAGTCGATTTTTATTTCTTGGGATGTATGTACATAGTACATATACTACTTAACGTACCTGGACCCTGGGGAAATGTGGCTGTGTTTAGTTACACAGCTCTAGATTCCACATTGCGACCCGCCAGCACATCACAACGTTACTTATTAGCCACACCTGCCGCCGACACACCGACTCGACAACTCAACGATCTTAGATTTCTCGCTTAGTCTCCACCGCATTTAACAGATTCGAACAGGATACATACCTACATACATAGAACGTCTTCCTTGTGCATGCGCATGCATAAGCGAGGCCATGACCTCATAGAGGATTTACACCTTAAGCGCATGCGGAACGTCCGAATCCGCTCAACAAACAGTACTTACTACTATGCAGATAGACTCATCAGAGGGGCCCTCTAGAAGAACACGAAAGACCAAAGACCCACAGCACAGATTCTAGGTTACAGAGTTACTCATTCATCAACCAAGGTATTTCGCTCGGATCGACTTTGCCTCGTTGACGTATCTGGCTTTTCGCCCGGCCCAATGTCGTGTTAACGACCCACTGGCCCGACCGGGTCTATGGCGAAGACATCTGAGGCCTCCTAGAAGACAACGACCATCAACAATCCATCAACGGAAGAAGAAGAGATAGCATCAGGCGGTGGAATAGCAGGGTGTAAGAACAAGGCGACCTACGATTAGGCGCCCTCCTGCCAATAATCGCATGAAATCATCAAATAGGGTCTCATGACTCACCGTTGACAGGCCTGCACCATTTCCATAATTGATTGGACATCTTAGACACATATCATGAAAGCCGCGTCATTTCACCATCTACAGGGTCTCTACAAGGCCACTCTTACGTCAAGAGCGAAGTTATCATGTTGTATTCTACGCGCTGAAGGATCGCTGGCTTTGGGCTTCTGCGGGGATTGGTAAGTCTTGCCGACATACCCAAAGACTGCCCAACATGAAAGTCCCGAGTCCCGAGCGAGAAAAAAAAACCTTGATTAGGAGAATTGCGAACGAATTGAAATATTTTAATCCGTCGAGCGCATTTTCACCGCCCTTTTGCATTTTGCAGCAATCTTCTGACTGCTCGAGGATTCATGGGGGGGAGATTCATATACGATGATATGCGGTGTTCTAGCTATAAGCGCCGTCGCTTAGACATATCTTGCTTCCCTGTCCGGACTTCATATGGTTCGATTCAATCGGCCGACGTCTAAGTCGCATATGACCGAAGAAAAGCTAAGCAAGCATGATACTATTATGATACTATCGTATCTAACCTCTCCAAGTGAAGACAATGTAAATCCATTGTCCGGGCTACATCCCCAGTCGAGCCGCCCGGAGGGTGTTCAGTTCAAAGCCACCAGAACGTGTAAACCAAAAACCATCAGGGTCTTCAACTGTCCCGTATTAGTTAGAATTGTAGTCATTTGCACAATAACGTAGTTGATTCCTCCCTCCTTGCTCGTATTGGAATGTCTTCTACCTAACTATCAAATAGTTAGATATGAAGATTAGCATTGCCAGTGACCGGTTTTTACGTGTCATGTATTATGTCCACCAGTAAATATTGCCTGTAACTAAACAGCACTACGAATCGAAACACGCAGTGATTCAGTCATGCCTAAGGTATTTTTAGTAAGATATATGGAACAGCACGATATGGTTTGCTAATTGCAGCCCTAGGGTGCTCTTGAGCCGATATTGTTCGCCAGTACCTTAAAAGAATGACACATAGAACCTCATGGAACACAATGCCTTAGGTTAGAAAGGTCAATTGTCGACTTCACCGAGATAGATCTATCTTATACTATATAAAATGTTGGTGGTATTCAAACAATCCTAATCGACTCCAAGGTCGTCTCTTCCCACAAACCACCTTCGTTGAGATAACAAAGACCAACCCGCCGGTAGGTATTTGGTTCGGAGCGTGGCATTAGTAAAAGGGCATGCGCACAAATTACATCGCCATAGCGTTCCGGCTTCACTTGAGTGTATACCAAGTCTGCCTTTGTCAGGATCAAGCATTTGAACTTCAACCCCTTCTCCAAACACGACGACGGGAAATCTAGGAATGCCTGCCCTAGTCTTTCTTTGGACTTCTCTCGAGGCGACTCGTACAACGCAAGCTTATTCAGAGCCACCGTGTGCTCGGTCCATAGCTCCCACTCGACATCTAGGACCCTACCCTCGACGTCCAGATACCCCGACTTGACGGGTCCGAACACGAAATCACTTCCGTCAATAAGGGTAACGGCACAGTCTAGGATTTTAAAATGCCATGGACGATCGGTCGCCCATTTCCTCGATTGTTTCGGGTAGAGGGTGCCGTTATCGTATTTCACGCTGGCCCAGCTCCAAGACGGAGCGGTATATTCGTCACCGGGCTCTTGGGTTGTAGTAACGGTCGAGAGGCTGTTTGTCGGGTGGGAACGAAATATGTAATACCACTGGAGGTCGACGAGGAGTGTTTCTTTCCATAAACCCGCAAGGTAGGTCATTCCGCTATCCTCAGCTGCCATTGCGGCAACGGCCGAAATCGCAGCAAGCTTGTCTGTTGGAAACGAGAGGGATCGTTGTGCATATTGGGACCGTATCTCTATCCATGTCATCGACATTTCTCTCCGTTTGTATGCTTCATCTATCGCGTATCTATGGGACAGCCTCGATTCCCATGGACTAGAAATAATAGCGGAGGCTTCTCCAAAGTAGTTCTGGACATACCCGTCTGGGCTGAATTGAATAGGGGGGTCTCGGTGTTCTTTCAGGCTACTTGGGTCGGCAATTAGCTTGTTGCATGTCCATTGGATCCCCTGGGAAGTGAATCGTAAGCGGCGCGAAGAGAGTGCCCACTCTTGTAGAGTCCATCCGCGCGAATCGATGGGATCTTTCAAGTCAGGGGCTTCTTCCCGGAAGCCTAGGCTTAATTTTATATTTGGGAACTGAGGCACACCTTTTCCAATGGTAATGTGGAATGGTTGTACCTTGAAAACTGGAGGAAGTGGTGGCTTCAAGAAACTCTCGGATGCCCCTGGTGAGTTAGCCGCTTAAATAGTCATGGCGCTATGCTGGTATATTTTCGCCATCAACGGCAGTTCATTAAGCTTGTCCTCAGGTGAATCCTGTATAATACACAGGGCATCAACCCATATATAGCGAAAGCTAAGTTTCCTAGTAACGTCCATAGCATCTGCAACCGACGAAGGGATGCTTTGAATATCAAGACTACCGAGCTTGGTGGGTAGAGTATCTTTGGTCAGCGTATAGTTTTGTTTGGCACCCCATACGTAACTTAGAGTCACGTAATCCTCCGTTTCTACAGAGCCAGTTTCGACAAGATGTGGATGCAAAGGATCTCCAATATCTATTAGACGCGTGGGTCGAAACGTACTATTCACGGTACATTGATGGGTTTGCTGGCAGTCATCAAGCCATCCTCGTACTACATTCGGCCACTCTCCGCCAGCCGCAGAAAGTCCTTTCCATTCCCTACTGAAGACTTCTTGGCTAGCATCAGATATTACTTCGAGCCAAAGTGTTCCACCATAAGGAGGGATGAATATCCAAGGCTTAGAGCATTCTTCACTAGGTGTAGCCTCAATCTCAATATTAATGAGATCAAACCCAGTCGAATACTTGCCTTTCATAATCGATATTGTAAGATTTACCTTTGCGTTACAATCAAGCGACTGAAAGGTCAAGTCGGGTTCGGCTTCTTTCGTTTGTAGGTTTGTAGAATCTTCGGGGTTGGCGGGGCTTTCAAATGTCCCCATGAGGTATTCATAGGCTGAGCCTCGCTGATGGTTATCGTCGTGGTTAGCCTGTGGCATGTCTGATTCGGCGTATGACGTTGTAGTTGTCTCCTGTCCTTGGTACCATGGTATATGGAGGATAAAAGATCTTTCACTGATAAGAGGGATCTCATTTTTTGCGGCGGCCAGGATTGAGTTGCCGAGGACAGTACATAGATTACAGCCATTAAGCATGCTATGGCATACATCCGTAGCTAGAAACTCACAAGATGACTGGATCTCAGTCTCACCATCGCTACTTGACTTGAGCTTGCCGTAAAGATCTTCGTTGAATAGTCTCTCACAAAGTTTGCAAGGCCGTGTAAGATCGTCGCGGGGAACAAAAAATTGCTTGGGAGGCTCAACCTTCCCTCGGAGTCGAAGCATTATGGACTACCTAAACAGGGCGAAATGGTTAAAGAATAGTTTGAACAGGAAAACTTGTTTAAACCCGAAACAGTGGACCGCGTATTAAATTTGAAGGTATCCTCGTTTTACATAAAATCCTTCCATGCCAAGTACCTAAATTTCGTTGGGCTGGGCTCCAGATTCCCAGCCAGTCTCCAACTATGCATACTGCGCCCCCGGTCTATCTTACTATACTACTATCTTATAATTCATATTTGACTAGTTATTATTATCAGAGCATTGCTTTTATAAAATGCTATGTGTTCTTTTATCATTATTTGATATTAATTACGAGGACCTACTGGCAATGAATATGTAGTGATGAAAATACCGAAGTATAAGTAAAATTCTCTAAACGTTATTAGTTCATACGAGTTGAATACCTTTTATTCAACGATATAATTAAAAACGGCAAATGCTAACTTGAAACATTCAGAATATGTTGTATTACAAAGGCTTTGATACCTTTGCAGGCATAGTTACTTAGATTTCACTTAATGCCTTACCTTGCTTCATAGTCTATGCTCAGTGTGACTAGGCTGGTCTTTTAATGCAACTATTAGGTAAGTTGCACAATAGACATTCTTCGATTATGGTTAAAACGTGATGAGTTCATATAAGTCATCTCGGAGAGTGCATATTCTCGTTGACCAGAAATCACATATCTTAAGTAGACAAAGCCGTACTACTTCACTGATTTCTTGTGTTATCTCATGACTAACTTCTCTATATAATGCTCTAAATATACCACTACGAATAATTAGCTTATCCTAAAGTTAATTTATCAAGACCACTAAATTACCACTAAATTCATGAACTAGAGCGTAGAAGCTGTGAATATTATTTCATAAACGACCTTTAACCTGCTTGAATGACATACTTCAGATGGTGCATTAGCTTTAACCCTCATAAGCCTACTTGTCGTCCTAGCTATTAGCATAACATGTTTATTATGAGTTACTTATGTAACATACTCATTTATATGAGACGGTTATGTCTTCAATACCTTTGGCAATACTAATGTTTTACCCGTACTGCTTATTAATACAAGAATGCTAAAACCCGATAAGCGTGAACTACCTAGGCAAGGACACTATTTTGATCAATTTACTAAAATTCTAGTATCATTTAATCAAGCAGCTTTTTGATACTATCTTTCTTGAGGGAGGCATCTTGTCTCTGTTCGTTATCAGGGCGGCTGGTCAGCTGGGTATGAGTGTGGCAGATGTGACATGGTGACTAGAGTCAGGCGATCTATTTCCGAGCACGGGAAAAGACATCATTTCAGTAGATCAACTAAAAAATGCAACCATTAAATCTTTCTAAGAGTCCTCCTTTTCAATATCCCATAATTTCTTATCAGTCAAAATAAGTATAGCGAATTTTTTCAAGACAATTTGCTCATCTGTTTGGACTAAAGCTTCTTGAGACCCCTGCTCTGCCCTTGTCTATCTACTTTATCATGCGGGGAATCCTTGAACGATAGGCACGGTCAGGTTAGACTTATAGATAAGCTGTATGATAGAGATATATCTGAATGATAAAACTTGGGAGGCTCGATAGACTTTTTAAAGCACAATGAATATTATTATATTTACGAATAGGTATAACTGCCCTAGAAACCGATGACTTGTGTCACACGGTGGTTGCTAGTCAATCTGCTAGGTTAGTCCATCAGGTAGCCGAGGCGCTCCCAACATACGAAGGTGGTGGGCAGACTCTTGGCTGCAGCTGTACGAAGGGACCATTGATCTCCGTTTCGGCTGCTAGTCACTGCAGGCTCACGATTGGCGCGGGTCAGACTATAGCACAGGTCTAGTCAGCTTTGCAAAATATCTACTTACCTAATGCTAGATATACATAGCGGGAAAACGGCGCAGGTCCAGCTGGCTGGGTTTGTGGAGCCACGTAAACATGTACCTAGGTCCCTGAAGGAAGAAAAGCAAAAAAAAAAAACTTATAACAAGCCGCATAAACGAGTGTCCCGATCCCTAAATTCTTTGTCTTGTGTTCGGGATCTAAAGCCGACTCTAAAAACAACAGTAGGCTACCCAAAGGCACCCAAAGGTACCTAAAAGCTGAGGCGTTGTCGTGAAGCAACATACACCATTCAAATAGAGCAGCCAAGGTAAGAGGTTAGATAGAATTTCAATAATGGAGTAAAGAAATGACTCTACATTGCGTACAATGTGACACTGCCATTTGAGGAGTCTTAGTATTATGCCACGAAGACGCGATCGTCTTTCTTGCATGTAGCATAATATACTGGCCCAATGGGTAGAATATATTATTTGAATAAAAGGTGTAAATGGAAGAATTCGGGAAGGCCAGGGGTAAACAACCTATGTAAACCACTATGTACTTGCCCGCTTTCCGCTTTACTCCACTGATGGATACTGTTTGCCTGTGAGGGGTTAAGTACCTCCTAACATAGCTCCTGCTGGGTGGATCTACGTAAATGCTAAAAAAGGGAATCACCCCACCTTACCCACGCTGTACCACGCTTTTTATTCTTCTTATTGCTGCTGATAACGTGCTGTTTCTTCTACGATAAGAGCCCGACCCTGATTAATTATGGGGTCTCACATGGTCAAGTCAGCTAAGACTTTGCGAGGGGCCACCCGCGGGCCATCGCAACCCTCTTGTTCCATTAAGTATTCCAACCCTCCACCCAGTATCAAAAACTTATCCAACCACCTAATGGACCTATGGACCTATGGACCTAATGGTTGGTATGTTGTTATCTTGTCTCATCTACATATATATAATCAATAACTATCCTAGCCGCATTTCTACTGGGTCAGTTCTAGTTTACAGAAATGATTTCGTAAAACATTAAATGCCGAAGGCTTTGCTTAGTCGAGCTGGATTCGAATTTTCTCTCTTCATCACTAGTCTTTGAGGAATACCTAGGTCTGTCAGATCAACTAAGCGCTACTTCAGCATATCGCCGCAAACCGCATTGGGTAGTGGTACGCCACCTCGAATAACAACTTGGAACTGGTACATACTGGGGCGAATTTGGACCCCTTTTCAACTCGTAATCCGTGCAGGCTAATCGTCGTATTACTCTACCTCCTTTTCCAGCTCTTCGTCTTTTTTACTTCCTCCTACCGCTGCTAAAGGACTACAGCTGGCTGGTACTACATTCGTTTATCTCTTTGGAATGAACACAGTTGGAAGAGTGAGTGTGAGACAAACCATGGTAGTCTCAATCAGCACTTGAACTCCTCCCGTGATTGATTGTTAAGAGAACACAGAAAACCTTGCTTGGGTTCTAGTTTATGTATTGCCTTTCCTGGTCATCTTGATTGATTTAGCGACTATTCGAAATCCCCGCATCTCGCAACGACTTTCCCGGTAGCAGATTAGCAACAATAGTACGATAGCCGAATACAGGGTCATTCATCTTCTAGACCTTCGTTATTTCGTGAAAGCCTCCTTGTAGGAGACTTTGGGTTCCTAATTGAGGCTTCACGCAATACAGCTATCAACCAACGAACCAACGAACCAACGCCCACCATGGCCGATATCACCCCACCCGATCCAATTGACGAGGAGTCGCTTGGCGTCGTGCCACTCGAGAGCCGTCCTAAGGAGAAGCGCCGCCAGAGACTTCTCCAAGGCATTCAGCGCATGTCTTCTTCTCCTTCGTTACAACAAACCGGTCGTTCTCGGTCTGCAAGCTCCCCGTACAGCATGCGAGGTAGCTTATCATGTGCGAGTCTCGCTGCGACGCCTGCTTTCGGACAATCCACTTCTGGCAGCGTTACGCCGGGCTATTTTTCGAACGGCCAGTCTTCCATACCCGGCAGCCCGGCAGCTGAGCACCCTAAGTTCGACGGCATTGAAACTCGTATAGCACGTAAAGTTCCTAATGTTTCTACGACGCAATTAAACCCGACTACCGTCTCTCTACCCGTTGATGTCACGGCTACGAGGTCTAGATCCAGCACGGTTCGGAAACTACCTTTTGACTTCTGGGCCAGAATGCCCGATGAGATTCGACTTCACATTTTTTCCTACCTCCGGCCGAAAGAGCTCATTCGTATTTCGCGTACAAGCAAGGAATTCCAGAAGTTCTGTTTTGACGGTCAATTATGGACCCATTTCGATGCTACTGAGTTCTATATGGAAATACCTGCGGAGGCTTTAGCCAAGATCATTCTTGCGGCAGGCCCTTTTGTGAAAGACCTCAATATCCGCGGGTGTCTCCAGATTGAGCATTACAAGCGAGCCGAGGTCATTGTCACGGCCTGCAAGAATCTGATCAACGCAACTTTAGAGGGGTGTCGAAACTTTCAACGGACCACTTTGCACAGTCTCATCAAATCTAACGAGGGGCTTGCCAACTTGAACCTTACAAGCATGACAGCGGTAACAAATAGCACATGCAAGATTATTTCTCAGCATTGCCCCCAGCTTGAAACCCTCAATGTCTCGTGGTGCAAGTACATGGATGCTCGGGGGGTCAAGATGGTAGTTCTTGGGTGTCCAAGGCTACGAGAACTAAGAGCTGGAGAAATTAAAGGCTTTAACAGCATTGGGGTAGCAGAGGCTATATTCACGACGAACAAGCTCGAGCGGTTGGTGTTAAGTGGTTGTGTGGACCTCGACGACGAAGCTTTCACAACCATGATCCATGGTACTGAACCCGAAATCGATATCTTAACGGATCGACCGGTAGTTCCACCGAGGAAACTTCGACATCTAGACCTAAGCCGGTGCTCACAGCTGACTAGCCAAGCTGTAGGTGTGTTGGGTCACCTCGTTCCTGACCTACAAGGTTTACAATTAAGCGGATGTACCTCGTTGACCGACGCGGCTCTGCAGCCAATTCTTGCCTCGACTCCTCGTCTTACCCACCTGGAATTAGAGGAACTATCAGAACTGACCAACGATTTACTCTCCGAGCACCTAGCTAAAGCCCCATGCGCTCCGAAGCTTAAGCATCTTTCTGTAAGCTACTGCGAAAATCTCAGTGACATTGGTATGTTGCCTGTTATGAAAAATTGCGTCAGCCTGGAGAGTGTGGATATGGATAACACACGAATCGGCGACCTGGTTCTCACAGAAGCTGCGGCTATGGTTAGGTCTCGGTCAGCTAGGACACCTCTATCTACTTCACGTCCTCATATTGGCCTTAGGCTGGTCGTATATGACTGCCAAATGGTGACGTGGACCGGTATCCGAGAGATCTTATCTTGGAACGCCGAAATCCGGCGACCTTCGGAAAGATCGACTACATATCCTACCGAGATCATAGGTCTCAAATGTTTCTACGGGTGGCAGCAGACAGTAGAGCAGCACACACAGCGGGTGCTGAAGGGTGACTTTGCTGCCGCTGCGAGACTGGAGAGGAAGTGGGCAGATTACATGCAAGCTGTCGAGGAAGCAGGGGCCGGCGGCGCTGGCTCACGGCGGCGCCGTCGTCGCGCTCGGGCCGCTCAGATGCTACATGCTGATGAAGAAGGAGGACCTGCCGCAGGTCGCCGTCGGGCACGAACCGTAGCGGCTAATTGCGTTGTCATGTGATCCCGTTGTTTTTATGGCGTATATCGGTGCATCATAAACCATACTGTCGGAGTTGGAGGCTCTAACCAGGTCGGGCCTGGTTATCACTTATTCACTTTTTACGGAGTTAGTTCATTTGCAATTTTTGGCTGGCTGTACGGGAGTTATTAACGGCGTTTTCTTATTGCTGCCATCGTAGGCATCAATCTACCTATATGTCTGTCCCGTTGAGAAGAATGTCGTTGCGTAGTGTATTTGTCGGTGTATTGGGGACGGATTGGTAGTCCGTTCACGTCTCCCTTTGAGATCCAGAATTCATAGGGTATGTATGTTACATACCGCTTGCAGCTCTTGTTGGCTCTTCATTCGAGTCCGTCTCTACTGGTGGTGTCATACTTTTTTATATAGATTTACGGGGAGAGGGGGGCTTTTGTATATTTCAGTATGCCGAGTATCAGTGCTATGAATTGGAAAGATAGATTCTACGTCCTATGACACCTCTTATGAGCTCTACAGACTATAACCATTTAGAGGGCATATTTCTGAACGACAGTCAATTTATAAATATTTCTGGGCGATTAAAATAAGTTACATCATAGAATCACCCTGAAATGCCGTCATTGAATCCCAAACAACACGAGATGTGAAATGAAAGCGCGCAAATTTAATTTCTGTGTCCGTAGTCGAACTCATAGTATTAGGTACATGAATAAACACTGGCAAAGCAACTATCAACTAGGTTAGCTGATTGTGAGGCTAGGCTAGTTCATGGGGGTGTTCTTTTTTTTTTTTTTTAATACATTTTCCTGTTACCCCTATTGCAGGGTCATATTCTGAAACGCGCAGTGGTAAAGGTCTTCTCTCCCCTAGACCACAAAATGGAAAATACAACACGAAAACTCTCCTGTCCTCATTCTCATTACTCTCCCTTAGGAGTTTGATGCCATGCAAATAACATGGCTAGATGCCTCGTCGAAAGTCAACGCCATAAGAGAAAGCACATATCAAAACTACCTAAATCAATAGGTCTTTGACTCGCCGGAGACTGTCTCGAATTCAAGGTATCTGTCCTGACCAATTGATATATATACCAATTGGCATAGAATCGTGAAGAAAGTCAGCCCCGAATTGGAGTTCATATGATTGGATTATACATTAGAACGTCTTTTCTTTCTTGACGTGGGTTCTTATTTTCGTGTGTTTTGTCGACATATGCGAAAGAGCCAAAGCAAAGATAGGCAGGCTTTTTAGTTATTAGCCTTTGACACCGGATGAGTTGGCATGCAGACCAAGGGTTTATGCATTCAAAGATCCTCGGGGCCGGCATTGGTGTCTGAAGGTAATTCTGTCGAGCCATAGGTTTGTGTATCGATCATCTCGGTATAGCTTCTCGTCGTGGTAAACGATCGACATGTCGAAATATTCGCTCAAGTACTTTGCGACCCACTTGAACCGCTCGTTCTGCTCGACCTCCTTTTTCGAAGACCCACTTGGAACAACAACTTCAATGTCGATATAACTCCATTGGCGTACATTGTAGTTCGGAGTCATATATCTGGGGTCTTTGTCTTTATTCACAAACACATACCCCTCTCGCGATGAATAATATGTCGAGCAGCAGCTAAAGACTGCGTCAAGTAATGCTGAGCATACATTCTGACGACGGTAATCAGGATGTACAACCACAGTGAGCTTCCCACAGGGCGCCGCATGTGTTTTGTAAGAGCCAAAGATGCCTCTTACAGCGACGTCCATCACGGCAAATGCAATGACGGGTCCATCGTTTGAGGCGGCGGCATTGTACCAGCCATCAACGGCAACAAAAAATGGCATTTTCTCGGTGCTACACCCATCATAGATGTTGAACCACTTGTGATGGCCGACTTGTCGCTTGTCCGGTAGCTTATAACTGGCGTCTACCTCTTCATTATACAATGCCGCTACCTGCATCATATCGTTTCTCATGGCCGGCCGGAGGTGGCACGGTACTCTGATCTCACGCGGATTGGAGCGTTTTTCAGGGTAGACTAGGAGAACTTCAAGGCGCTTCCTAGGCACATCCTCTTCACTCCTATATTCCCTCTTCGGCTTGGGTTCCTCGGGCAATGAGTCTTCTGTAAGAGGCTTAGAATTATCCTTAGCTTCTACTGATTTTTCCTGGACTAAATCAAGTTAGTAATACACCTAAGATATTATTACTAAGGGACTATATACATACCTATTCCTTGCACTTCGGAAGCAGAAATCACCGGTGCCATGAGACGGCCTGTTTCGGGGTCTACATCGCACCGTTCTGGGCTTGTAACCCCTTCTGGATGAAGGTCCACGGTAATCTCATGAGTTGGCTGAATCCAATCCTTGACGTATTTCTCAGCCTTTTTTGATAGGTACGAAAACCTTTTAATGGGTGGAGATTCATCCTCCGCCGTCTTAGCAGGCTTGTGGTCCTCTGGTACGACATTGTTTCCGGTATTTGTCTGCGTATCCATAGAGTCGTGAAGCTGGGAGTTTCTCTCGGCAGCACCTACCAGGGTGGTGATTTCGAGTGCTTTAGAGACTTCATGTACAACGTCAGAATCGACGGGCTTGCTTGAATCGTCCAACTGCTTCGCAACTGCATTTGATTTATGCTGACTTTCATGCACGCTAGTAAGCGCGGTAAACTGTTGAACGCTTTTGGTCTCATTAGCATTCTTTTTTGGAGCCCAACGACTTTGCGATAGCCCTCCGCGCTTTGGCGGACTGCCCTCAACTTTGGCAATTTCTTGAGGATGCTTGACGCTGTAATCTGCTGTCTCCTCTTGGACTTTGTTAGGTAGATTTACGCCAGAAGCTTGGCCAGATGATTGATCTTTAACCACCAGTTGAGAGTGGTAATGGCCCGTCTCTGGATCGTAGACGTCGACCCAAGTCTGTCGCTTAGCTGGGGCCATTTCTGGATAAAATATAACCATTAGCATCAAGTTACATCTCATAGAAATATTTTAGTCGCACTATAGGGGGGAAAGGTAGGTCACACTTGAGACACGCGACGTCCTTCGAACCCTATAATTCAGGAAAAGTGACTCGAGGAAATAAGTTGCAAGATTCACAGGACTTAGTTGAGGATATGGATGTGTAGCTCATTAACTTACCTGCGATATTGACCTTGTATCAGATATCTTCGGATGATTGCCGACCAATTATCTGTATAGATAAGGGAAATTGATAGTTCCTCTGCAAGTTGAAATTGAAAGAAAGACGCCTGCGAATAAGTAAAACACGAAAGGTTAGGGACCTGTGAGCAGAAAGTCAGGTTGATGGTTCATCAATTGATCACTGTAGGGAAATGAAGAAGAAGGAGGGAGTAAAGAGAAGCTGAAGAGGTGATTATAATTAGAAGGAGCTACTCGTTCAATCGTGGCTCGTTTCAAGATGGGTATGGGTAGGATGTGCTCTTTCCTAGAGGATGTAAAACATGGACAATCTCGATGAAGTAGAAGTAGCACTGGATGGATAACATTAAAAAGAAGGCAGGCACTTACTCTTGTATCACGATGGGAAACTGTATGTACGTTTCAGATAATGAACATAACTGACGACTGGCAATAACAGAGGTCAGCCAGGTGTCAACCTTCTCTTCGAAGAAAATACCTAAAATGAAGATAAAAATACATGCCTAAGGTTCAGAAAGGCGAGTAGACAAGACAATACTGACCCAACTCGATTCTTCTCCTGTTACTCTGGTGAAGTATCTTCTGATGAAAGAGTGAAGGAGATGGTCTGCGTATAGGTAAGGTGCGATGCCTAGCAGGAAGCTGACAAGCACCCGTGTTTCTTGTTGTGTCCCACCAGTTTTGCTTGCAATGAAAAGTAGATATGACACAAGTGTAGGTGTGGAAGAGAAAGAAAGATCAAAAGATTAACCTAGAAGAATTTATTGGCTAATGCGCAGCTCTGACCACCAAACAGAGTTGGTTGGTGTAGAGACATGGACATGGAAGGAGGTAGATTGGGTAATGAGGCAGGTTCCATAATACACGCAAGTAATGGATTACGGGGGTAGGGAGGGCACTTCAGGTAGAAAACCAGGCTGGCCCTGCGTATCGCCTGGGAAACTTGTAGATTTATGACTGAGGCCTAACACTTGTCACAGGCCTAACAATCCAGTATCTATGTGAAATATTCGGGGAGTTAGCAGTGTTGGATACGCGGTCCCTCATGCTAGTACTTTGAATTTGTGAACGGGAGGTACTAGCAGTCAGAAGAGTGACCGCAGGGTGTATACAAAACTTACAAGTTAACAAGTCCCCCAGGAGCTAACCCTACTATATAGTAATAGACGAACAATTACAATAGCTAAAGCGTTAGGGTTTCCAATGCGAGACATAGGTAAATCAGACGAGACATGTCCATACAGGTTCAAGAGATACTTAGAATAAAGAGAGAGAAAAGAGTACTAAATTGCGTCACATAAGGCGTGGGAGCACTTTACTTCCGGAGACATATGTGCTAATACGTTCATTTGAAGATTTGGTTATATAAATCAGGGGCGTTATGATACTACATTGCTTGATGACTATTCAGAAGAAAGAAAAGGGGGAAAGAAAATATACATGTAATACAAGTTGTACCATATTACATTATAGAAAGTTCCACTGGAAGTTAGTATGTAGCAAATCTATTAAATTTTGGACGAAGGTCTTCGTTCATTCATAACGTTAGACTTCTCATCGTTTACCATAATTGCCTACCTAACCTAGGTAGGTACCTAGAATATTTAAAAATGCCCCAGTGCAGAATAACGTACAAGTTTACTCGCGAAGATAGAAGGGAGAAGAAAAGGAAAATAATTAGATCTTACAATATCCAAAATCAGGCTTTAGTATCCCCTTTCTACTTTATTTTTGGTTTTATTAAGGTTGCCACTTGGGTCTTTCTCGTGATATTAAAGGAAGTGCATGCCCCATAGCACTTTAGTATTGTTCTTATCAAATACATCACTACCAGGTTGCAGCTCGTCTCGAATATAAACCTAGATGGCCTGAAGGATACCTAGCTCCAAAGACACATGAGTTTGTTCATTGTAAGGTTTTTGGTATCGTGTAGTCGAATCGGAAACCCCTGCTCTCTGGAAAGATGGATTATGAGGAGAAATAGCGTCTTTGTTAATCCTTTCATATAAGTTGTTAAATTTTGGTAACATGTGATTGGAACGGGCGTTCTTAATTCGGCTATCACTGCTTGACGATGGTCGGAAATATCCTTTCCATGATGCAAAAAGATTAGGTAAAACCTTCATTTCGCGGAAAACGCTTGGAAATGTAGGTGCGCAGAAGACCAAAAGAACGAGCACCATTTCGGCACCACACCAAATTGCCATCCGGGATATGGCATAGGTAGTGTCCTGGGTCTGAAAATACTGTACCGTCACGATCAATCTGAAGATACCCGAAATAAAAGCCCTATAAAATATTCTATGAGATTCTTAGTTAACAAATATGAGAGAATCACTCACAAAACGCCAATAGCAAATACTAACAAAATGCTGATCTTTCTCCTTGTCGTCATATTAAGTGTCCAAATAACGGTATGAGGAAGGATAAGAATAAGCGTGTGTGAGGCGATATTGATACTAGCTGATGAAACATCTACGGCTTTCCTGTCGAAGCACTTTCCGGGCACCGTTTGATCCCATATCTTTTCATGTGGAGTACAAGACAGGTTCGCCACAATAAACGCAGAGGTGTAGAATAAGATGTTTATCAATATTAGAACATGGCATGTCCACTGTATTGCTACATTAGTCCAGATAAGATTCAAACATAATTAGCAATAGAAAGTATACAATGTTATAAATATCTCAGCTCTCACTATATTGTTCACTTGGAGTAAACCCTTAGAATGACGTTATGACTTTCGTGGGCACTTACGTAGAAGAAACCACGAGTTCCTTGCGGAGCAAATATTCGCGACCACTCTAGAAGTATGGCAACTTTCAAATTCATTATTACGATCGAGTAAAATGCGACGCAAAGGGCAACGACCTAATTTTTCTATTTCAGTAAAACTTTTGCCTATCTAGGTAGATAGACAGGGGTGAAAATTGTGTTAAGGATTTAAATGAAAAGTAGCCACGAGCTAAACTCACCCAGACAAATTCAGACAAGTCTCTCACCCGAACGTTCCACTGGTGTACAAACATCCCAACACCATGAAGGAGACGGATTCCTAGGCACTGGTATGTTACGAATAGAAACTTATCAGATTTGTTATTATATACTGGATACAAAAACAGGTAGATATTGATATACGTATGCCGCGAATGCAAGAACTGACCCTGATTAGTTTAATGAGAGAGCATATAGGCTGTGCAGAACTCACAGTCCTCCAAGAACAATTTGCGTGTAATTGCGATCCTAGAATAAATTCGTAAAGAGATTGCGAGCGTTCCTACCACTAGAAAGATAACTATTACAGCAAGGGCTGCGGAATTGCGGTTCGGAGAACTCTCTAGTTCTGGCACAACGCCAGGGGGAGGAGAGAGTGCTGGTCCATCCAGGATTGCCTCTCGCTCTTCGGGTGAAAGAAGGTAAATTTGATCGAGCAACATGCTTAGAAGACTTAAGTTGGTCTTGATGAGATATTTCTGTTCTGACTAGACTGTCCCCTTTTATCGTTGTAGGAGGTTTGTTTGCATCGGTGATATCTTGAGGAGAGCGGTCGTATAATAAGTATGATATCAAGAAAAGTAAGCGTCGGTAACGTATTGAAGCGGGAATGTAGACTTCGTACAGAGTCCCATGAAGGATGTGAAGGCTTTGTCTTAGCTAATGCTCGTACTCCCATGAGGAAACTAATGGAATACCCGAATCAAATGGGATACCGCAACGGGTTACAATGAGGCTGAATTTGGAACATAACTTCTTACATATACAGAACGCCGGGTATATAGTATGTAGGTACCTAATGTATAGGTATATATGTCTTTCCGTTTGGTCGGGTCCGCGAGGCGTTCTTGACCGAGCTCGTGTACCATCTCGGCTTTTATCCCAGCTTTTACGATTCGCTTAGCATAGAAAACAAGCCAACTATGTTAATCAGGTCAAGCCACAAGTCATCATGTTAATGCCTCCGAGCTAATAAGGAGGATATTCCGACCCCTGAAAATTACTGGAATAGGTATAGACTTTAGCCCTGTTTGAAAATAATTTTAGGATACATGGAAAACCCCCCTATTCAGAAGTATTTCTGATCGATCCTTAATTGCTGGCCGTTTTCTTAGTTAAAGCGCAGCACCCTCTCTATGTAGGTGCGAGGAGGCAAAAGCCAGCACTAATAGGGATACATGAGGCCTCGTAGACAATGCCGACAGAGGCTCTGCCACCACGTACGGTTAAAGTAGTAAGAGCCAATCGGTCTTAATATTTCCCCAATCCCATGTACCAATGGCATTTTTTCTTATTTACAATATCTCACACTTACACCATCGAGATCTTTGGCTTAATTGCCCATCTTTCTCTTACCTACTAGCCTCATCGTCCTAATCGACATGACCCTAGATTTGAAGCTCGATTTCTACCCCGCATCAGACCCCAGCCGCACAGGGGTTCTCGTGCTCCCAGGTGGCGGGTACGAGTTTATTTCCATGGATAAAGAAGGAACGGCTCCAGCACGATGGCTCAACGACCATCGGTTAGATGCATGGGTACTCTCATACACGACCGCCGGTCCGTCAAGTCCAGCGCCCATCTTCCCAGCTCCGCAACGCGAGGCGCTCGAGGCAGTGCGGCAGATTCGGGCGTCGGGGCGGGTCGACAAGCTAGGAATATGGGGCTTTAGCGCCGGCGGGCATCTTGCAGCTGTGACGGTGACGGATCCCGGTGCAAACCTAGATTTTGCGATCCTTGCTTATCCGGTTATCAGCATGGCGGCGGGTACAACCCATGAGGGCTCGCGACGCAACCTGATCGGCGATGGGTGCGAAGCTGGTAGTGACGCCGAGAATGCCATGTGTGCTGAGAAGCGCGTCGACACGAACACACCGCCAACGTTCCTGTTCCACACCGCAAACGACGATGCAGTGCCAGTCCAGAATACGTTGGAGTTTGCTACAGCGATGGCCAAGCACAGGAGGCCATTTGAAGCTCTTGTTCTTCCGGATGGTCCACATGGGCTAGGGTTAGCACTTGGGGATGAACGGTTGGGTTGGACGAGTGAATTAGAGAGATGGTTGAAGTTTTCCGTTTCAAATGTTTAGACTCCCATAGAGCACCTTGTTAAGAGTATGCCTTCAATGTTCAGCAAAAATCAGAAAACCCCGCTATACTGGGGCTTCTCTAGACATAGCTAGAACGTAGATACTTGATATACCTATGCTATTTCCGATAATCAGCGATCGACTATATTCTATGAGGATTATGTCGAAATATACTCTACATAAAAGCAAGGCTTGGCACGACTACTGGGTCTCAACCCTTTCACCGGCTGCGCCATTTAATCGATAGAAAGGGTTATATAAAACATGTACTGCTTAATTCACGTAAGATCGATGTAGTTAAGTTATCACAAATCTCACAAGTGACAAAATAGTACAAAATTAAGCTATATCATGACGAAAGCTTCTAAAGCGATAATAGCGCTCTTCCAAGGCTAGAGGGCAGACCAACACCGGTGTGAAAAGTGGAAACAGTGAAAACGAAGATGCCTAAGAAGCAGGCTATATCCTACGGGGATGTAGAGATAGATTTGGAAATAATCGGCTTAGTTAACTCCATCTCATATGCTACCTACTTACACTGCCTAGTAACTTCTATTGGTGAGGAATCACCTAATAAGTTAATATTGCTTGTGATGGCCGGCCTAGCTAGTCCCGTAAAGGGTTGCGAAAAACTATATTGAATCCTTTAGACCGAGAGGTCTCTGAAGGTACATGGGTCAACCAAAACACCACATACGGTGGTAATTCGGATGTAAGTACCATTACTATAGTCCTGGCTTACTTCTCCTATAGTAGTCACCTGGCTTTCGAGATCCCGTATACGTAGAATTGCGTACTAGGCCAATGTATAGTGACGCTGCTGTAGCACAGATATTCTATGTAGTTCATATATATCATCCTCCTGCCGTAGACAACCTCCACGTCGACAGTCATTGGGGGTTAAAAATATGAAACCTGTAATCGTGTGCTGATACCTTATTACAAAAAAAAATAGCCAGGCGTAATTTTTAAGGATGTAGACGGAACCTTGCTATGGTCCGTAATGTAACCTTTCAACCATATTGATCCGAAAGAGGGTGCTGTTCACGAGCGTACTTAAGGCCGTAAGCTTTATTCATAGCAAGAAATGCAAAGCATCATTAAATCTTAACCGCCGAGGCCGCATGAAAGTGCAAGGCAGATTCACTGACAGAACGCAGAGTTTCAATGGTTTAGATACCTCGGAAGCTGATAGGAACATGTGGCATTGAGAGTAGTCTTTTCTCCCCCCCCCTCGTTTGGCCTCTTAGGGTGAGGCCAAGAACTACCATTAAAACTATGAGGAAACAGGCCTTTCCGAAGCCCCCATAAGCATTCCGAACCCTGCCACGAAACAGTAACTACCAGTCCGCGTCATGGTAGTAGAAGACAAGGATAACTTTCATACACCCGCAATGATACTCGAACAAAAAGACACTAGGTTAGGAAGGGACAACTACCTACACATACTGCTTCGTGCAATGGTTAGCGAATGGCACAAATCTACTAAACGCTCCAGAGGAGTGTACTCGAGTAACATGAAAAGGTACCCCTAGACATATTCAATAGTAAATGGCCTGATGATCGTGCACGAAGTTGGCGCAGCATAGGCCCTAGCACGGTAAGAATTATAGAAGCACATTAACAACTATAGTTAAAACGACGCTAACGCCGTCCTGATCGACAGTGACCACCTCCATAACCTAGGGTAATAAGTTATCTTGACTTCCGCTTGAACGGGTCCCTGCATTTAACAGATCCTACTTCCTAGGTCCCTGGACCACTAAGACGCTTAAAATGAGGAACCTCTGGCTATAATTAGGTTTTTAGTACTATTCGAAATATTATTATCGTCTAAATACCCTAGGTACCCGCTAACCGGCATAATACCCGAAAAAAGTTCGTGAAGTGTGGCCTCGGGAAAGATAACGTGCTTCACGACACGGGCCGAGTTGAAGATTTCGGCATTCCTAATGGTGTTTGATAAGCGCCGAAGGTAACGCCCAGCAGTGCGCCGAACTTTAATGCAACATTCCATCCTAGTAAGAATTCCTCTTTAGGCTTCGAGCATATTATGTATCGTAACATGGCCTCTATCTATCTATCTATATATCAAAGTAAGAGACCCTTTACGAGACCTTAAATCATCAAAGGAATACTAAGCATATTCAGCGAGCTTCCATGCTTCAATTATTGTGCTCGGATCACCTCGGGCTCGTCAAAGTTGACTAGGGGGAGTAAGGGCCATTAAACCCTGCGGTTTTACGTCTAGCCAATCATATTAACAGCCAGTCGAATAGAGCATCCTGTGATTGGGTTATACACAACCAACATGTCTCTGATACTGCGGCCCTTTCCCACGGCCCCATGGTTCTTGAACCTTTTTTGCTTTTTCAAAGGAACTACGGAGTTTAAAAATTGGCCTCGCTGAAAATATAGGACGACAACTGCGGCATGATCCAACGTATGAAGTCTAAGTTGTCGATATTATTCGCTGTAACTCATGGTCGAGCTTATCTAAGGCCTTCTAAATTCTAGGGTCTGGGGCTATACGTGGTCACTCTCTAGTTAAGAGTAACCTGGTTTAACCGTAAGGGAGGGCACATACCTTCGACCTTCACACCCAGTTCACCCATGGGGCTATGCCATGTCGCACCACTAGAAGAGCTATGCCCCGCGCCCGCGATTCATCGCATTGTATGCAAGGCAATGCTACTCTATTCGCGAATTGAAATCTCATGTACTCTTATGTACTTTGTAATATCTACTCCGGGTAGTGTAGGAGTATGCAGGTAGCAGAAAAGGCATAGGTCGATATGGGACTGGGTGATAAAAATCGGGAGGGGGCCAACCATCTAGGTAGGTTACCTTAGGAGGTATAAGAATATGGTTCGAGTTTCTTTCATGAGCACCAGAAAGTAGCTTCACTTTTAGGCTACTATCTTATACTCAACATCAAAAACTAGCAATTTCTCTCTGATTGGCAATATTTTTCAGCCATGTATTATCGTGGCGGTTCTCTCTTTGACGACTCATACCCCACACCCACTTCCCGGAAATGGGATCCAGAGGTTGTACTGGGGATTCCCAACTGCCCTCCCTACTCTATGACCTGTATTGGTATGACCAAGGCAGGTCGAAGATGCCGAAGACATATTGCTTATCACAAAGTCAACTATGCAGTAAATATTATCCATGGGCTGGCTAGTAAGCCCGCTTTTGAAGCTGCGAAATCACCGGAACTCCGCAAAGCAGCAGAGATATTGTTATGCTGGCAACATGACTACGAAATTTCAGACATACTCTTTCAATGGCGGTCCAGCCTAAACGGCTGGGCTGACGAGCATGACGATACGTCCTCGTCTACTACAGACACCGAGTCGAATGCAAATACTTGGCGCCCCAAAAACATACCCAAAGACGAACCTTATATAAAGAAAGAAGAGCCTGAAGACATCCTATATCAAAGACTGCTGGAGTATATGAGAAGAGAGAAGGAAATAATCGACCACATTAGTGCAATGCGCCGGCATATTGAAGAGGAACAGAGAAGGATGGATGAGCAGAGAAGGATGGATGAGCAAAGAAGGGTGGATGAGCAGAGAAGGATGGACGAAGAAAGAAGGAAGCATGAAGAGAGAATAAATGAAGAAAATAGAAGGAGAGAGGAAGAGAGAAAAAGAGAGGAAGAGAGAAGGAAAGAAGAAGAGAGAAAGAGAGAAGAAGAGAGGAGGAAAGAAGAACAGAGAAGGAAAGATGAAGAGAAAAGGAGAGATGAAGAGAGAAAGAGAGAAGAGGAGAAAAGGAAAGAGGAGCAGAGAAGGAAAGATGAAGAGAAAAGGAGAAATGAAGAGAGAAAGAGAGAAGAAGAAGCCCGCGAGAAGGCGTTTCGCGAACGAGTCCGTCTTTCCAGGGAGAAGAGAGAGCGGGAAGCCAGAGAGCGGGTAGAAAAGGAGGCCGAAGAATGGCGTTCTTCATGGGATCGATATTCCAGAGGATGGAATAGCAGCACTAATACGGCCCTAAGAAACATCCCCTGGCCAGTGAAGTCAGGGCAACTATCTGACGTCAATGAAGCTAACGTGAAGATGTTCTTCGCCAAAGCACCACCACAATCATTAGTGAGTTCGGGCGAGAAACGCTTCAAGCTCCTAAATGCAGAAAACAAGAGATGGCACACAGATAAAGTACTGCAGCGCTTCGGTCCAGACGTAGTGTACGGTCATGCGAGGTTTGCCCTGAGTGCTATTGCAAAACTTATGATCGAGTTGAGGCAAGAGGCTCAGAGGAATCGGTAGAACGAAGAGTATTATATTGATATGGTGATTTCCTACAATAAGCCACATGCCTTTCCTTTGCATTTTTCCTTTTCATGTATAGTAGGTCTTATGTGCGTGACTAGGATTTGCAGCATTTACAATGATACCTATGAACTATCCTATTGATATATTTTTCTCAACCTTGCCATATGGTCCGAAGTGACTGAGGAGGCTTTAACAAAATCAGGGGCTAATATACTGACAGACATACATTTCTAAACTCGTAATTGTGGATTCTACCTGGTTTTTGATTAGAAACTTCATGTCTTGTGTTTTCCTTCCAAGTAAAATTACCTGTTATATTCAACAACTGTACGGAATATTCCAAGGCAAACATATTGAAGTTTTGGTTAGGGCTCTAGGACGAAGAAACTTCATATGTGCATACGTAGATGGCTAACTACATAAGCGTATTAAATGCATAAATACTATAAGTACCTAACCTAGGCAGGTACCTGTATATATGCGTTCATTGGGGTAGAGGAACCAAATTTCCCCAGGATTCCAATTTCGAAGATAAACCAAACAATTACAACATTGGCGAACGGATACGAGTCCACTAATTAATCACTTGCCGGCTTCCAATCTGCCAATGTTAAAGGCGAAGGAATCGGGTTCACACCCGCCCTATCACGAGAACATGGCAATAGCACGGTGACTACTCGAGTCCTAATGCCTAATGGTTAGCCAAGACGATCATTCGGTGTCATCAAAAAGATTGCTAAACATTGTTACCTTGCTACGTCTTAGTAGCCACGCGAGCACCAATTGCGCGAGAACATCAATGCAATGCTGTGCTACTGCAGAATATCGCCCAGAATTGCTCAGAGATGGGTTAAGTGACACGATTATTGCAGAGAAAAGCCAATTATCTCAGCAGAACGACTCATGTTTTCCGACCACAATGAAGACCACGACGAAGGCCAGCTCATACAACTACCTACACCGAGTAAGACAATCATTCGCGACTTGTGGTTTAGCATTGGCTCCTTGCCCAGCCTCGTGGTATTACCGTTGCTGTCCCACGGTGGAGGGCGTATGGGAAACCTACCTAGGGCTACTAAACTATTGTACCGGTAGCCGGTAGCCGGTAGCCTGCCGCACGGTTCAAGATGAAGAATTTCTTGTAAAGAGCCAAGGAGTCGATATACCGGGACATAACGCTAAGGTATAAGACATAAATTATACTTGCTTTTAGTATGCTGCATGCAACTAACTAGCTGGCTTTGGTCCAGGGGGGAACGGCAAGGCGGCCGGGCTAGCAGTGGTTCGACCGGTTGAGGTCCAATGTGAATTTGTGGAGAAACAAATCGATTCGACTGGATGTTCCTAAAGCAAGTTTTGCTACAGGAATCACAATTCTTCTTATCATCTTACTGGACGCCTACAGATACAGCACGCAGATCTTCTCATGCAGACACGAGCTTACCTCTCTGACCCTAACTGTTGCTGGTGCAACTAGAAGCCTCGGCAGCACTACGATGACGGCGACGCCATCGCTTATACCCAAAGTACATAAACCTGCAATCTCGATCTTAAAGACTAGGATTATAGAAATGCTCCGGATATCACCGCAGGCCTAATCATTCTCTAAAAGCCTCACGGCGCAACGACAACGAATAGGACCTACTAAGCTGCCATCCCCGCCTTCTGTAGGCGTAAGGCGTCTAGAGTCGGCTTTCTAGTATGCGTTATCGCTTAATAAGTCTGCATTGATATGTGCTACCAAAACAATAATGCTTCACGACTAGCTGCCTCATATCGGAATAAGATAGATGTGTTCGAGATGGAATACCTACATAGTACACAGGCACACAAACCTACCGGCTGGGTTATGCAGCTTGTAGCGGTGACATCCACCTCCACGCACCACATGTTACTCATGAGGGGCTGGTTGCGTTGTCGGGCCAGTGCGGTTCCAAGATCTCAGCCTCGACTACATCATCGTTACCAGCAGACATGGGTTAATCCCTGAGACCTGGTTGAACTGTAAATATCCTAGCAGGGTAACTATAACCAGCCTCTCCCTTGCATCTGCGATATCGTCTTGGCTTACATAGCCGGAGGCTAGACTTGCGCCGTCGTCTCCTGCTTTTTAATCTTCCGGTTGCCGAATGTCTATCACGGTCGACTGATTACATACGTATTGAATGACTTTATCATCAGAAAGTGGAACGGGCGACTTGATCGGCGAGCCGGTCGCTAACGATCGACCGTTCTTTTCCAAGTCGAGTTATCTCTAGTGACACTAGTGAGTGTGTTCAGCAACAATTACTCCTTGGGTACCACGTCTATCCAATCCGAGATGGAGGTTTTGGTCCACGCCTATCTCTGTTGCACAAGGCACAAGGCACAGAGCAACCGGACACGAGGCAGGCTTTTCGAGCAAGCCTTTTGCTGCCTGTAAATTAGCCGGGCACTTAGGTCGTGGGAAGATGTCATGATAATCCACTAGCGACGCTGTGCATCTCTCGCGCATGGTATGTATGGTAGGACGAAGATATAAGAGGCCTAACATCCCATTTTTCTATATCTTCCTTCTCACCACCAACCTCCCCAGCCTGCTGCTTTTTCAAAGGCCTCACTACCGAGTAACTCCTTCGTTAAGGTTACTTAAGACCTTCGTTAAGCCGTGCCGCATACCACTCGTAGTATTTGCGTAGCTTCAGCTTACTTTCGCTATAAATCTAATCCGCTTCATCGGCGACCATCATATCCAAAATGAAGGCTGTTTACGCTGCGTTGGCCTTGGCCGCGTCGGTCATGGCAGGCAAGGACCACGAGACCGTTGTCACCGCCACCACCTACGAGACAACTACTGTCTGCCCGATCACTAACACAATCACCTACGGAGGATCGTAAGTCATGTCTTGATATTCAATATTCAGTATAGCCCACTCACCGCCTACCAGGACCTACGAGGAGACTACCTACACCACCTCAACCGTAGTTGTTACCTCCTGCGCGGGAGGTAGCTGCGGAGGCGAGGCTACCGTGACTGCTCCTGATACCACCGTTGGCACCACCACTGCCGTCGAGGTCACTTACACGACCACGTGCCCTGTCACAGAGACAGTCACCGCTCCTGGAAAGACCTACGTTACAACATATACTACGACTAGTATAGCAGTCACTTATGTCGACACTACTTTCGTTGAGACAGTGTCCGGACCCGGTGCCACGAAGACAACGGAGGACGTTGCTTACACTACTCTGACTTCTCTATGCCCTGTTACTGAGACCAAGACACTGGGGGGTTCCACAGTCGTCGTTACATGGACCTCGACCTCGACCGTCAAGACCGCAGTACCTACCACCGCTACTGCGTACACTTCCTACACCGTTACTGAGCACGTTTCTACCGAAGTCTTCGAGACTGTCACCTGCCCGGAGACAGTCCACACCACCGTCTCCGAGGGTAACACTATCTACGTTACCGAGACCGGTACTGAAACGCTCTACACCACTAAGGAGTACACCGTCACGCAGACACTCCCTGTCACCAAGACCAAGGAGATTGATGTGACAGTTACCTCCGAGGCTACTGCGGGCGAGACCGTCACGGCCAGCCCGACCGTCTGGATTACTTACAGCGATACCACCGTCGTCACTAAGTCCAAGTCCGCCACGATTGTGCCTTACCCTACCACAATCTCTGTCCCTGCCTCCAGCAGCGCTGCTACCAGCGCAGTCGGTACCACATACGTCCCCTCTGCTCCCGCTTCTTCCTCCACCGGTGTTCCTCAGGTCCCCTCCAGCGCCCTCGCGCCCCAGGCTACCCCTGTCGCTGCCATCTTGGCTTTCGCCGGACTTGCAGTCCTGCTATAAGCTTGGTCACTTTGAAATATAGGTAACCAACTAAAGCAAGCTGCTTTAATAATAATAATAATAAGTCACGAATGCAGGATAAAAGGGACGAGCACAAGCATGGCAGATACCCCATCGTGGGCGGGTAGCATTCATTTACGGAACTCGGTGGCGGCGGCACATATCCATACCAATCTTTCAAACGAAAAGACGATTCGTTTTACGGGCCATGATCATGTCTAATGTTTAGTGGTATCTATTATCACGATAGGCACCGCGGGGATTTTTTTTGGCGGGACTAATCGCCCGGAGGATTATTTACATGTAGTCTGTAGTTTTTAAGACATCTTCTTGTATATAGTTTTACGAAGCCTTGTCACCAAGGCATAATTAATTTTAAGAAGTTAACTACCTAGGTTAGTATCTTATTTCTATTACCATGCCTTGAATATTATGTGAAACTTGTACGCATAATTCAGATCGAGAGTCAGCCATCGGGCCCTCAGGTCGGTGTGTGAGAGGGGAATAATACAATACACTCTCAACATCGGGATCAGCAAGCACCGGAGGTGGGCCGACGATATCGACGATCAATTCTCCATCTCACCACCCCCTGACTCTTGTCTGCAGGCGATAAGTCCTAAGCGGTGTCTTAAATCCAGTCAGCCCGCGTCTCGTGCAGTCAGCTTAGAAGCTGGTCGTGTTAGTTGTTTTCCCATAACTACCAACTTATCCTTGCCATATTTGGGCTGTTAAACACGCCCGGCTACGTCATGGATAGGTGTAGATGTGATGGATGTTGGCAGGTTTATGGATACCTAGGTACCTAATATTTGCGACTAATAATAGCATCTTGGGATCTTGATGCCTTTGGTTTGTCTATGTGACGCTGCTTTGCTACGGTAGCATGAGAGTCTCTTAGCCCTACTACTACTACTACTACTACTACTCTCTGTGTAGATGAAATGGTGTTAGGGCTGAGATATGTCCCGGTGCGATGGCTTGCTTGGGTGGTGCTCGAGTCCATTCCATCCACCCTACCTACCTAGGTACATACCGTCTCACCCAAAAAGTGAATAAAAAAAGAAAAACGGGTTCGCGCTCGACTGTTGTCTCGAAGCTCCCCCTTAGCTTAATTCCTTATCTTCAATTTCTGCGCCCTGTTCTAATTACGACCGGCAGCACTAGCAATAGCGATAACGAGTAACCTACCTAGGTACCTCATAGTTATGTACCTACCTAAGGTACTAGTTAGTTTAGTCCTCGTGGCTTGCGGGATCTTCCTGGTAGTGCATATCCGCCGAGCCACAAGTTTCTGCAAGCGCAAAAGCCGTGACTCTTAGCGGAACAAAACAGCTGTTCCGGAGGGTCTTTATTACGTCAGTGCTGCATATGCGGCTGCGGCCGACGTAGCCCGAGTCATGCATTGTTTTGTTTTGTCTTGTATTGTTTTGTATTGTTTTGTTTTGTTTTGTTTTGTTTTGTTTTGTTTTGTTTTGTTTTTATTACACACCTGCACGGAAATTATGCCAAACCAGAATTATAGCCTTGCCCGGGCTGCGCGTATGTTATACATATGTACCTATGTATTGTACCTAATGTATGTATGAATCGGGCATAAAACTTCGTTCATGTTGTGACAGAGAAACCGGTAAGAAGGCTACATCGAATCATATTAGATATTCTCATGGTTTAGATAGGATGTAAGAATCGAGCAGGAGCTCACCAGATATAGCTGCATACCTAATCATACGTGCAAGTTATCCCGTACAAAGTAAACAATTGCAGTTTTACTGGTAGGTACCTAAGTTCATAAGGGGCTGGTTTAAGGGGCTGGTTACGCTCGGATATATGAATATTGAATTATCACATACAGTTGCTATTTCGTATTATCACGATTACTGTTCATTCCACTTCCTAAACTATAGTTAGTCTATAGACTTACTACTTCACTAACTTCAAACCTCAAGGCAGACTTCAACTTTCACAATATACTGTATTCGACATGCTGCTACTTATGAACAAGCAAACCAGTACAGCCTCGCATCAAAGCCAATGAAGAATTTACAGCCCAAAATTTCCTAAACTTGGATGGCGTATTACTGTCTCAACATCAATCTCCTTGCTTGTCTGTTCGTCATCCCGTTGTGATATCTAGTGTGAAGAACTGGCCGTATTTCTAGAACACAGCTTTCGCCGACTATAACACAAGCATTTACGCCTCCTCCACCAGAACATGCAACCGTACAATCAGTGTCTCCCCCAACACCGTTCCTGTCTTTAGATCCGATCCGTACACCCCTAAATGATACACGAATTGAATAGACATGTACGTACTGGATAAGCACATGCAGCAAAAGGCCATAAAGGCCATCTAGGCCTCATCCGTGCACACAGCTCTGCAGTCGCTGTTATGCCATGTGCCAAGATCTACGCCCCTCGAAAAGTACCACATCCTCCTCATTTGCCTAAAACCCTAGATGTTATCAAGGCTGATGCGATTCCTAATCGCTCAGCGCCTGCAGCGCCTGGTTTAGAGGCACCACTCGCAAGCTACGCCCTCTCTTGAGCCCGGTGCTCACATTAGTAACTGTCGGGCTGTCGGCGTCGCGCCACTTGCGGAATACGCTCTTCATATCCCGAGGGATGCCCTCTAGCACCACGGTCGAAAATGGAACAAACGGCCTATCTTCCATTCCCGCTGCGAGAATGCCGTACTCCTGCGCGAAGTCCAATGCGTTATGGAATGACGCGTACTGTGCCTGGGCCCGGGACCCTACGATGATGTACAGCTCAAAGAACGCATCGAGCACGTAAATATTCGTTGGCCGTAGATCCGCCTGCGAAAAGGGGGATATCTCAACGATCTGCGGGGTATTATGCATTAATAGGAGCCCGTGTGACAAATGGGGAAATGTATGCAACTTACCTGCTGCTTAGAGGCTGCGTTTGAGCAGAACAGCCTGCAGCAGTACTTATCGTAGTTCGGCTTAAGGCGCCAATGATCGGCAGACATGGCCTTGGACTCGACATTGAAAAGACCCCAGAAATTTGCTGGCTCGTGACCGTCTTCAATTTCTTCCATCTCGCCCGATAGTGCGTAATCCATTCCTATGAGCCGTGCACAGCTTATCTCGTCCACTCCACTACCCTTGCCCTTCCACAAGTAGCATTTACCAGCTGTCGATACAACATACGGAAATCCGGAACATAAAGATGCAGGAGTGAAGTCGACCTCATCAAAGACGATATGCCCTTGGTATCGTCGTCCGCAGAGTATATGCGGAGCCAGCGAATCAAACTTATTACCCGAGCCTCGCTGGACAATAACTATACCTCCCAGCGCCTGTAGAAACTCGGGAGTCTCCTTGCCTTGATGAAGTTTGATCAGCCTGCCGCCTAGAGCTCGTGCTTCCCGTGATACTAATAATGATGCATCGTCTACAGTAGAGCGAGGCACATCATCTCCTGCCCAGAAGTATACCTCTGTGAGCTTCTTGCCCGATTCGTCCTTAAATGTGTGAGAGCAAATATACATCTCTCGCTCAAACAATGTTCGCTCATTATGGGCCGGAACAGGCAATTTTTTGCCGTCTGCTGAGAATTGGAATAGCTGAGCGCTTAATGTCTGAACTCTAGGTGGTGCTATATTCAGTCGGTGCATTAGTAATTCAGCGGCGTCTACATTATAATTTTTGCGAGTACGCTCGGGACCGAAAAAATCACCAAGTAGGGTTGACGCTTCAAACAACTGCTTAGTGGGCGACCGTACGGGCGACGACGTCTCGGGTAGTGTTCTTGAGCTGGGACTAGGTGAAGACTGTGGGGTTTGTTTAGGTTCTGCTGGTAGGGGACGAGGGGGTAGTGCCTTTTCTAGCCCACTAGGTTTTGGGACAGCGGGTAAGGGTCGTTCGATCGAAGGAGTCTTTACAACTTCCGGTGAAGTAGAAGGGCCGAAAGCGTCGTTAGAGGGTAGCTTCTTCGGACCTAAAGAGAGCGGATCTGGCAATGGTATCCTGGGTTTGTTCAGCAGCGGCGACTGGGGTTGCGATTTAGGTAGATCCTGAATAAGAGGCTTATCAGAAGCTAGTTTTGGGTTGGTTGTAGAAGGGGTTTCATCGGCCCCCTTCACATCTTTCACCACCTGAGGCTCACCCGTTTTCCCAACAGCTTGTGTTGTATCATCAAGAAATCGTGACATTCGTCTCACATCTAGCTTCTTCGGCGATGGCGGTTGCGAGGTAGATTCTTTTGGCTCGTCGGATACCTTCGTTGGTGACCGTTGCCTCCTCTGAGTTGCGAAGGCAGCTACCTGTTCATGGATCTTGTTTGTACCCGGCGTCTTACTGGAGACTTCGTCTGGCGCCGTCGCGGCGAACGGATTTGAAAAAAGGTTAGGAGATATAGGCTGCGGGCTTGGCTTTGGCAGTTCATTTTTACCCACATCGTTCACATGCGGCTTTGACGTGGAATCGAGAGGCTTCTCTGGTGATATAGAACGTCCAGCTGGCGTATGGTTAGATGAGGTTTCCTCGGGTTCGCGAGAGGTCGTGGCTGGTGTTGAGGTCGGCGCATTTCTCTTCGGTCCTCGAGCGCGGCCCTTCGTCATGTGTGTTAACTTCGGTCCCGAGCCAGCCTCGTTATCGTTAGCTTCCGAAGAAGCGTCGCGCGAGTTCGACGTCGACGTGCCAGAGGAAGATGTGGGGGCTATGCTGGGCGGCCCCCTAGCAATTAGGCCAGCAAGAGCAGGGTTAAATCGACCAGCCAAGCCACCGCCTGAAGTCTTTCCTTGTAGTCGACCAGGAACATTTATGTCCTTAGAGATTGGTACGGGTTGAGCCGAACCTCGTCTCGGGACGGTTGGAAGGTCTGTTTTAGAAGTGGAACCCACAGTTGGATCCAGGTTCCCTGTACCACCGAATCTTTGTGGCTTGCCAGACGATGCATCCTGGGCAGAATCACGTCTTGGTACTATACCTGGCCTTTGAAAATTTGCAATTGCCGCGCTGACTGCAGCGGCGGAGTCTTGGCCAAGCGTGTTCGATCTTATAAGTGTCTTTCGTCTGGCTATGCCCTCGGGAACTGGCGTCTCACTTGCCGTGCTATCATTCCGCGTCACACCACGGCCCTCTGATTGTACTGCCTGGAAATCCTTTTTCTTCGTCAAAATGGCCTCCTTGAAGTCGTCAACACGTTCTGTCTTTTGCGGGCCACCGGTAAAATTAAGGGATGCTTTTCCTTTTAGAATATTACCCTTAAGCTCATCTGGGGCAACATAGTTCTGCGTTGTCGTCTTTCGAAGTTTAGTAAAAACATTCTTGAACTCGCTTTCTTGGTTATCAGTAGAAGTAGCTGGGGCTTGTCTGGGTTTCAAATTCGCTCGGAAATCCAACTTGGGAGGCATCTCAGGTTTTGGTTTGCTGGCGGGTAAAGGTACTTTCGTCGGGTTGCGATCCGAGTCCGGGCTCTTAACGCCCGGGGTTATAGGGCTTTGGAGATCTTTCGGGGTGCCGCTATCAGCAGCGGTACCTATATTCAGAACACCCAGACCAACCGGTGGCTTCGTAGTAGTGCCAGGCGCAGAAGACCTCATAAGTCCACCAATACTGACTTGATGCTTATGCGAAACAGTCGGTGACCTGCTTCTCTCGGTACTAGAAGTGGCAGCCTTCTCGGCTTTTGCTTTCTGAAGATCCGCCATCCAAGACGGTTGACTTTTCGAAGGGCTATGCCCCCGCTTAGGAGATTCGGGTTTGTTCAGAGCCGATTCAAGCCAGCTAGACTTTGTAGGGCTCCATCTCCTAGAATCTAGGGTCTTAGAGGGGGTAGTAGGTATAGCTCGACCTAAATCTTGCTCCGGTGAATTCGGCAAGGGTTTGATTTCAACTTTGAGCGGATCGGCAGGCTTCTCGGGGGCAACCAAGTCCTCTTCTTGGCGTTCCTCCTCTTGATTAGGCGAAGGCTTCTGCGAAGCTTCCACGGAGGGGTCACGGATCATACTAACAGGTCTTGACCTAGGCCCACCCGTTCTATGCGAGACAACCGGGTCTACTCGAGGCGTACCAGTAGGCGATTGGATGCTCCATCTCTTGATACTGTCAGATCGCTTCATCATAGCGCTCTGTACAAACCCGCCCATTCCCTTCGTCGGTGAGCTTGACCTGTCTACTTTAGATGGCGAAGTTCGTCCCGAGGAAGGAGACATAATTGGAGACTGTTCTTGATCACCATCTGTCTCCAGCTGGGCATCGTTGTTGGGAGGCTCCAGTTTCTGAGCGGCAGATAGAGGCAAAGGCGATCCTAGTCTATTTTGTACGTCAGGGGAGGCCGGCTGCGAATCCGTATCCTCTTTTGCAATTTCGCTAGACGATGCACGCGACATTCCCGGGAGCTGAGCCGGCGTTGGAGAAATATCTGCCGTTGGACTATCCTCAACCTGGTTCTTCCTATATGCAGCAGAGGTAGCACCCCTGTCCGCAGTTTGACGGAACCATGAGGGGTCTTTAGAGGACAATGCTGAAGTAATTTGATCTCTAGATATAGTTTCGGTCGCCGAAGGAGGTTCAGGAGGGGTATTCCGTGCCGCGTTCTCGGCAGCAACTACGGATAGTGGCCGACTTCGTGAACGTTCGGAGGCTTGTGAATTCGGCCGTCTCTGCCATGAAAGCCCCCTAGCTCGAGTAGGAGATGTTTGGGGAGGTTGCTTCCCTTCTAAGTCGATTGGAAATTCGTTCTCTTTTGTGGGAGAGCCGGAAAATGCTCCTGGACCAACCATTTCCTCGGCGTTGGGAGAAGGAAAGGATTGAGTACCGGTAGGAGGCTCCAGGACAGGAGATGCGTCGAGGTTTAATCGGCCAGGCGAGGCAGGAATGTCGACGAGGTGGGCGGTGGGCGGTGGGGTATTTACTGGCGAGGATTTTTGAGGTGAAATAGACCTGGCACGCTCTAGGAGAAAATATTAGTTTAATTAAACCTTGCGTTAAATGTAGAACCATGTCCTAAATCCTCCTCTAGAATTTAAAAGGGTGGCATTGCCCATGGGACATGGGAAGCAATCAATTAGACCAAGAACGGATATATGTAGTAATTTCATACCTGCGCGCCGAGCTTCTCTTTCTTTTCTTTCTCGTAATATTCTCTCTTCAAGTTCTCGTGAACGGGCCTCGTCTTCTTCAATACGTCGATCACCCAGTTCCTTAACCTGGAGTAGGAATTTGGATACGTCTTCGGACATTTTTTACTTTTTTCTTTTTTTTATACCGGTAGATCCAAGGATCAATGCGAATGCAAACAGTTTACGGCACAACACGTAAGGGCGGACGGAATAGACAGGTAACCTGGATTCTTGTTTACACCGTCCTCTTCGGCCGCGGGCACAGAGTCGGGTAGAGGTCGAATAAAAAAAGGGAAAATAACAAGAAAACTTGCTTCTTGTTATTAGCGTTCGGGATGATGTGGTTAATTAGGAACCAAGCCTAATAAATATCTAAACAGTCCAATTCATATACATATGCGGACTGGGGATTCTAATACGAATCAAGTTACGAAAGTTTACAAAAGTTTACGGTAAACAAAGTTGATTAAACAACTGCGGAAGGGCAAGTCCAAAGTGGACTCCTGGTTTCTCCGGCTGTCATCGTCTGCATCCCTGCAGGCCGCCGTTTCCTAGGTTGTCAGCTTGTGCGATCAAATGATGCCCACCGAGTTTAATCCACAGCCAATGACGAAGCCCGCCTAATAGCCCCCCAACGGAGCCTAGCCGCCTGGCAACTGGCTGCCCGGTGTCTGACAGCGCACCAAATGATGAAACTGACCCGGGAACTTTATGGACATTAATCCATTTAAGGGTTAGCGTCAATGCATACTACAAAGTGTTGTTGTCAATGTAGACCGACCAAAAATGTCAACTTTCAACTCTCCGAATTCGTACTGTAATAGGCAGATTGGTAAATATGACATATGACATGAGGCTTTCATATAGTCTGTCACATCGCGTTTCGTATTATTCCTGTGTTGTATGCATTAACACGATATCATGTGTTTACTTCTACAAAGTACCTAACGTCGAATAAATGTTAGGTATGTCCGTCAATACAAGAATAATCTTGCCTTCGCATCTTCAACCACCCACGATAATCCCTCCTTCAGATTCTCCCCCGTCATAGCGCTGCATCGTAGGATATGCCACCGATGTGTCCGGATCTCTTCGAGCTGAAGCCCCTGTAGTATTTCGGTCTCGTCCATGCAACCTTGGACGTCGGTCTTATTAGCGAAGACTAATAAGCTAGCTCCTGAGAGACGCTATGTGCCGTGCGTTTGTTAGCCATATTTTCACGTCTACAGGATCCATCCATAGAGCAATAACATGATATGCGAACCTCTTCTTGTAGTAGCCCATGAAGCTCTTCTCGACAGTCGTCAATTCTTAGCCGGTCTGTCGCATCAACGACCCATATGAGGGCGTCCGTCTTCTCGAAGTAGTTACGCCAGTATGATCTCAGCGTTTTCTGGCCACCAACATCCCCTATTTCCATTCAATTCCCAGCCATTTGCTGGTCAGTGCTTAGCTCGACTCACATATGTTCAATTTATATCTATACTAGAAAGTCAATATTATTCATCATAACACTCAAGACGGAATGTAGAGAAAAGTCCCCGAAGCTCACCCCTCATATTCGATCGTCTTGATAATAAAACCCAACGTCGGGCTGACTGTATTGACATCCTCATTCATTACCCTCTTCACGATCGTAGTCTTGCCTGCATTATCAAGACCCCTATTCCACTAATTATTAGCCTAAATAACCCACTTGTAGATTATTTGTAAATTACTTGTAAATTACGGGTATTAGGAAGAGATAGACTTACAGCATTAGGATCCTCATCTCCTTATCCTTCAACCGCGCCTTTCGAAGAATAGACAACATATCTAATAGGCCTGTTCAGATGGTATGACGAAGGTCGCGTAAATATAAAATCCAAATTTTCCTTGATTGAATGCCTATCTTAAAGATGGTGTTGACCTTAGGCTACGTCTTAAAAGATAGTTGAATTCACATTTAAACTATCATTTAATTCGTTGCCTATTCTCACGTGATGTGCTCAATTCAACATAAACTCGCTACATTTATTCCTACACCTTTCCTACCTCACACAAGCCAATAAACATGATTGGCAAGAACTCTCACGTATATCACGTTCAAGCTCAAACAGAATTTCTAGGCATTCTATTAATAGTTGTCGGAGAGAAAACACTGTTTTAAAAAAGCTACCATTTATCGATACTAACGCCAAGGAGTGCCATGCATCCAACCGTGACCCCGTCTCTTACAGCTTATGCCCATTACTCATGGAGTCAATTTGTTCGCTTTCCTCAAAATCGACTTTTTCGCGGGAACTCCACCACTGAAAACTTTGAGGCTATTGACATCCTGGGCATCCGCATACTCGCGAACGTGTACTTTGCCGGTAGATAATTCCAGCAAATGTCTCTCCCACGGACCTATGTTCTCTTCCACCAATGTCCGAACATACGGAGCACCCGCCTCAGGACCTATATACTCCCAGACCCAGCGTAGGTCCTCGCGGTAACTGCCTCCCTGCGTAGTAGTGCTTTCGCTTTCCTCTGCGTCATAAATGGCTTTGTTAGCAGCAGCACTACTACCGTTGGCGGTATTAGATTGCCTCCCTCCAGTATCTCCATTCGCTTTTGGTCCCCAGCTAGCATCGTGCGGCACAGGGTCGGGAAATGTTTGAGCCACGCGACGAGGACGCCACGCTCGTACCAAGGCTTGACATTCCCAAATATTCGAGTCGTTGAGTCCCAAACCCTCACACGCAAGGCGGACGCGCACCGAACTGTGGATGCGCTCGTTCGTATCCTTAAGAAAGGCACGTGTAGGCCGTCCATTTTCGGGATTCATCTTTCTGTACATGCCAGGCGAACGAGTAACGCGTCCAGCGAGATCATAAATTGGGCTCTTCACCGCTTGGATGCTATGCAGGGACCACGGGCGGACAGGTTTGTTCGGATGGAAGATAGGCATTGCTGCCCAAGGTATGGGCTCTTTCTGTCGAATGGCCCCGCAGCATCCACAACAGGAGTTGGCGAGCTTCTCGCGTCTCGTCTTTTCCGGCGTCAAACTGTGGTAATACCTCACATTACGATCGTAGAGTCTCTCAAGAGCGTCGTCTACGAATTCACAGCCAACAGAAGAGAGTTGATCCATCATCCCTATTCAAGCGTATAAGCATTGGCACACACACACACACATGAGAAAGGGGGAACTAACAAGCAAGGGTTATATTAGAAACACCTTGATCGGCCCAACCACCTCCCACATTTCCATGACTGCCGGGGAACCAAACTTGTCGAAGATCTGAAGTGTCTCGATATTCTGGTTGTCGTTCCCATAATGTCGGGCTGAACGGACCGCGGGTTTCGTCTAATGCGAGGGCATGAAACCCATGCTCGATCTTATTAGACAGTCTAGTATTATAGAACCGGTACGTAAACCATTGTTAGTTTATATAAGTCAAATGGCCTAGGGTGGGTTGGACTTATTCATGGCTACGCCACTTAATTCCGAGTCGAGCTAAAATCTCCCTCGTCTTCCCTTGGGGGATACCCAACGAGCCGACTGTATCCCATACACCTGTCAAGATGGTTAGCCTTCGTTACTTGTACACAGGATGTGGTGCTTGGTAACTGTACCAATGGCTTTGACCTTAATCAAATCTCCTTTGCCTTTATTTTGGCGTACCCGAGTATATCCATTCTACCACTAGTTAGCAATTTCAAGATCCATGGAGATCTTATCACCACAATACCTTAACAAGCATGTCCCGGTACTCGTCGGCAGCACGAGGCCCTTTTGGTTTATTTGGGAATGGCACCTGTGGAAATTGATCCTCGTAATTGGGATTCATCCAGTTCTGCATATCTTTGAAGACCGGATAGAAGAACTCCATGCCCTCGCGGGTGAGCAAACCTAGATCAGATATCATTCCGCCGATAGACCTCGCAGTGAAAGCCCCACGGCTAAATCCTACAAGAATGATTTCATCCCCGTCTACGTAATTCGCACAGATATAAGCGTAAGCCTCGCGAATATTCTAGTTTCAAGTGAGCTTCCATGACTGCCAAAGGAATAATAATCCAATCTAACCTCTGCTATTCCGATTCCAAATGCACCGCCTATTATTCTGTCGACGACACCTGCTCTAGAGCCGACGCCGGACTGATAATAGATGATTTGGAATGTGCCATTAGAACAATCCCTTTTGAAAGCTCTGGAGATACGTGTTACGTTCGACGGGATCTGGAGGGTCGGTACGGGATTGGAGGCAGATGGCTTAACGTAGCCATTGTCCCTGAGATATGTTAGTGCTCGTTCAGTTGGGTGTGGTCTGTATATGACATACGAATTCTGCCAAGTCCCATCGCAACAAATGACAATACGCTTCTTCATGGTCGATAGTATTTGTTTCGTAAGTTCGTGTCAACTCTTGGTCGCGGTTCGGTCTAATGAGGTTATTTATGAAAGATAGGATAAAGAAAAGAATACTGATTATATATCAACTCGTTGCTAGAACCGAATATCGAGTCTCATAAGGGATTGGAGATGGTAAGGCTGCCCTTATATTGAATCTTGTGTTACTGGAAGAGGTTACATCAATATCAGGGGGCGAAACCGAAAGACAACAAGTACCTGATACCTAACTAAGCCCCTTGGTGACTTCGATTACATCCATGTGATAAGCAAAGGAAGGTCACGCTTGATTAAGAGAGCTATTACCATAAATAGAGACAGCAGCGCCTACTTGTTTTAAGAAGCTAAGCTTTACAGGTCAGGTACATAATGTGTCGAACGTAACTTCTTAGATATCCGTGTATTATATGACGTAGGTAGTCTAGGGTAAACGGCAATACCGACGTAGCAAGGTACCTAGTATGCCGTGTAAGTATTCTCTGAATTGTTCTACACCGAAAGACATGATACCAACATCCGAATTTGATAGTTATTTATAAGACTGTTGGTCAAAAGCTCTCTGCTAACCAAGACGTTGAGGCTCTGTAGGTAGGTATCTAATGTATACATCTAGATGAATGGACATATTTCCAAATCACATCAATACTTGATCTCGGTTTACACCAACCATATCCCCCTGTCTACGTAAAACGATAGTTACGATAATAATAGTAGTTAGGTAAGATTGAGTGTTGGAATCAGCCTCTGTTTTAGTGGTTTAATATATGCATAACATCGATATATTCATATTAGTCATACGTCGTACATGCCTGTAATGCGCTAATGTCATAAAATGATTTCAACATTCTCTGACAACTAAGTTTCTAGGTTAGGTTAATTGACTTCCAAACCAAAGAAGACGTTCTTAAACCTAACTTGAATCATTGAAACTAATACAACATCCCAATTATCCCTCTTTAATATAAGCATTAGATTCTTCCACGGAGATTACAATACTCTTCTCTCAAATTAGACCTTCTAACAAAATTACCCATGTAAGTCAAGCGACCAATATCTAATATCTGGTTAGTCCATCTGCCTAAGCAATATTAGAGATATTGCCTTACCTTAGCTGAGCTCAGCCATCTCATCTCAGCTAACAGCCTCATCCTAAGGGCAGGGTAACAGTCACACTACTCATTGTCAGACTATTACCCGACGTTTACCAAAAAGGGACCAACGCAACTCGGAGAACATCGGTTCAGGACGTATGCAGCCAGGTCCAGATGTAGAACCAACGATCCGTTCTTACATGCATAGCCGCTGTGGTATGCATCCGATATTTATCAACCTGGCCAATCGCTCCGAGCTTCATGCCATGCGCTGCAGGTAATGGCTGGATCCTTCGAACGTGTTTGCATATGCGACGCGTGGGGGGATCTCCCGGTTGAGCTCCTCCAACAGTTACATAATGGTCACAAGGGGTTTGCGTGGCTGAATCGTCTTATCAGTTACCTAACCTCGACTTACACATTTACCCCTCACCCTCACCCAGTTATTCTTTCACATGGTACCGTGCCGAACTGTTGAATAAACAGTCCAGCTACGTCTTCCGTGTATAAGTATGAGCTTGGGCACATCTCGTTCTCGTGGGTTCTCGCGTTACACTATGTTGGTCCTTTTTCAGATGTAGCTACCCGGTAAACAAACACCATGGCCGGTGAGCCCAAGGATTCGGGCGTTTCGTTCGCGCCATTTTTCGACCGCTGCAAGCTACCGGCAAGCGTTAAACACGACTGTGATACATTCGTAACGACAAGATATTCCGAGACAGCGCGACCCGCTCCGTTCCAGGGTTACTGTTCGTATACGGTCTTCGTCGGAGAGGAAATAGTCGTCCAGTTTCGGCCATTGGCCCACAAGCTCGACATCGGCATCACGAATGCCGCTTGCAAGATCTTCGGTCCCCTAGCTCCCAAAACCGAGTTTCTAGGAGAGTTAGGAAGTACAGGTCTTTATGCCTTCTCCATGAGAAAAATACCGGGGGTCTCTTTGGCGGATCTTCGCGCCGAAACCAAAACTCTACAGGCAAAGTCGCGACGAGAGCAGATTGTGCGCGATTTCGCGCATTTGCAAGCCACGAGCTGGATTCACGCAATAAATCATAGTGATGTACGGGGGAAAAGGATGGTGGGCTCCTCGTTACGCTGGCGAATGGAGCTTATGGCAAAGAATCTTCCCTCTCGTTTTCGCGGCATCGCGAGGTCTGTTCTTGCCGACCTGCCGGAAATCGAGGCACTACCATGGACACTAAGCCATGGCGATTTCTTACCTTCGAATATAATGGTATGCCCAGAATCCGGAAAACTGTTGGGTCTGCTCGACTGGGCTGAGGCCGAATATCTTCCTTTTGGTGTTGGTATGTATGGCCTGCAGGAATTGCTCGGGGAAGACAAAGATGGGCATTTCGTCTACTATCCCGAAGCCAAGCACCTTCGTAATTTATTCTGGGCGGAACTCTCCTCCAAGCTTCCTGAGTTATCGCGAAACTCTAAGCATGTTGCGCTTATTCGAAAAGCTCAAATTCTAGGCATATTCCTGTGGCATGGTATCGCTTTTGACGATGGTAAATTAGATCGTACTGTTGAAGAGGGGAAGGATGATGGGGAGATCAAAAGACTGGATGCTTTCCTGCTGTCTCGTTCAGGGATACGGCCTCCAAAGTTATGGTCTATTCGTCCGATTATGGACTCACCTATTGTGTTTATACGTGGGCTTCTGTCTGGGGAAGCACATTGTTAATAGTATCTCCTATGGGCTCCTACTGTAGAAGTAGCGCGTAGGTCTACGCATGTATATGTATGACGAATGTTCAATATGCTACAAGTATCTGTTATCTAAATAATTATAGCTCTATGTAGAGATTGAAGGTCCTTGGACGAAGTAACACATTGTCCATCGACCTGGGACTAATCGCCCTACAACACCCATGGGTATCATCAGGTATGTAGTTAGAGCAAAGTGGTTATAATACATTCTTCTGATAGGACTAACGAATCATGACCCAGTAAAAAGTCAGTATATACTCTTTATGGAATTAGATGGGTAGCTTGGACCAATGATGTTTAAAGGGTCTTGTACTATACCTGCCCAATTAACACCTAAAGAGATTATGTACTCAGCGTAGCATCACTCTATAAGTACCACCCAAAGAACATCTTGACAACCAAACTGATATATATACCATTATACGGCCATAAGAAAACTCCAGTTTATTATACCATGTATACAAATTCACCATCGTTATCCACCAAGAGCCCTACGAAGACCCATTCGCTCCATGGCCATTCGCCACAAACGCCTTCTGCCACGGCAGCGGCTCCTTCGCCGGCCGCACAGGCCCCAGGTCTTCCTCCCTCCGCTCCCGCCACGCCTCGATATCGCGATGATCCACGAAATTGCCATGGAACCCCAGCCTCAGCCTCAGCGGCAAGTGCAGCGTCGCCAGCGGCCCCCTGGCCAGGTCCAGCGCATCCCAGATCACCACGTCGTTGCGCAGCTCGTCCAGGTTGTTCTTCAGCGCCGCCAGGTACCCCTCGCCCTCCCCGCCGCCGTCCTTAGGGATGAACACGGGCTCTTGGAACGTCGCGGTCGCGCCGGCGAAATACACGTCTTCTCTGCCGGGAGTGGCGGCGGCGGCGGCGGCGTCGTCGTCCCATGTGTAGTGCGCCATGCAGTTGAATAGGCCGCCTGCTGGGGGCCCGCAGCGCGCGAAGTCGTAGGGGCGCGTGGGGTCGACGCGCAGCTGCCAGAAGTGCTGGTACTTCTTGGTTACGTAGCGGTCGTCGATGCGCGAGAACTCGCCGTTGGTGGTCCATTCGATGGACGCCTTGACGCGCGTGCCGGACTTGGCGTTCGGGTCGAAGACCCATCGACATGTTGGGCTGCTTAGGCGTTGTCGCCCTGCCGGATTGGGGTTCTCGCCGTCGGGAGGGAACCAGAAGAATACGTTGCCGTCGGCGACTGTGAGGTCGAAGACGATGTGTCCGTCTTCGTTCTCGTAGCACCCGGCGACGTGCCCGTGGAATCCTAGGGGAGAATGTTAGATAATTTCCTGACTAAGTGTAATATGTACGTCGAGAGAGGAATCGCTCCGGCTAGGTAAGTTCCTGGCCGGAAGCATACCTAGAAGGAGGTACTTACCGTTGTCAGCTCTGAACCACTTCACATCCTCCGGCTTGCCGCCGCGCCTCGGTACAATACCGTAGACTTGATCCTCATTCGGGTCCCACGCGAATTTATTTCCACCGGCCTTAAGGCGCTCAAGGGACATCTTGAGTGGTGTGAGCGGGAGCACCGTGTAGTTTTTCGAGACACCACAGTCGTGTATCATGCCAGCGAATGGTGCCTTGAACCATAATTCCTCGGTCTTTTGTCCGTCGGCGTTGATAGTCCAAGTCACGACATCGGCTTCACAGTCGGAGCCATTGGTCCCTGCCTCGTACGCAAAACACAGCATCTCGCCGGTGTCCGGGTCGAACTTGGGGTGTGCGGTGAACGTCGGAGCCGTGATCTGGCCCTCGAAGTCGTATCGTCCGATAGTTTCCAACGTGACAGGGTCCATGGCGAATGGCGGGCCGTCTTCCTTGCTTGCTAGTAGCATGCCTCGCCAGAACGTGACATTGGTATTGCTGACGGTGCGGATCACGCCCTTGACGCTTTCGTTGTCCGTGTACGGGTTCCGATACCGACCAAATAGGCTCTGTCGTGCCTCTTCCTCCTTGAGAAACTTATCTGTTCGCACATATCGCTGTTTAAAGTCGGCGTGTCCGTCTTTGATGCGGATAGCTGTGACGCTACCTGTTTATATCCGCCATTCAGTAAGTTAAATGTTCTCCTTTCTAGAAGCAAAGCTAAAGTCTAAATAACCCCCTTTCTCTTGACGTACCATCACCGTTCTATCAAGTTTACGATCAGCGACAGAGTTATTAGAGTAACTAAGCTATGAGTCAACTTACGAAATGAATATCATCCTCAAATATTGGCGGAAATCGATGATCCTACATCCCTATTAGCAAGCTTTATTATAATTCGCGTGTGTTCTGTCACCTCCCACTCACCGGCTGCACACGATAGAACGTTCCATTGATATCGCGAGGGATCTCGCCCGTAACTTCAAGATTGATGATGTCTCCCTCAAAACGCGAGGGCTTATTCATCGACGAGAATGCTGCGGTGTCCGGGAACTTAACCCGGCTGCCCGTCCTCTTCCCATTGCTATATGGATACAACGATACCTCAGAGGCGATAGCTTCAAGATGCGCCATAGCTCGCAACTATCTTGTTAGTAATTGTCAAAATACTATTGGGTTGGAGGACCTTGTTCGGAGATGTTATAGTCCCCATGTGAAATACAACATAGACCATACATTCTGGCTTACAGACGGAGCCGATTAGAGGTACCGGCCATGTCGAATAACCCGATCACAGCGTAGTATAGTTAAACTAACTAGACTCTTTAAGATGTGGAGAAGCTGGTACGATCTTCACTCAGTCGGCAGTTATGCTACGACTCCAAAATAGGCATATGAGAATACGTTTAAATAGAACAGCTTCGCGTACGTAACTATAGGCTCGTGTCTACCATGGATCTCGGCGTTGGGGAAGTGGGGTCGATTATATGTAGAGACTCTTTACCCCAGATTCCAGACAGCCCCCTATCCCCCTTTAGGCTATATATTATAACCCAGCACTATGGGTTCTGAACTAGAGCAGGCAGAACCCTCATTGAGCCCTCGCTCGTCCAGGTCTTCCCCGCTCCAGGCCGAGTCTGTCCCTCCGGTAGTGCCAGAGTGAGCGGTGCCTCGGATGTACTTGCGTCCTTACCAAAGTGCGGCGCGCGAAGATCGTCATCCTCCGTCTTCTTTCCCGTCACCGGATGTGGGTAGTGGAAGGGCACCACGCGTGTGTCAGGCCAGAGCATCTTCTGTTCGATGATCTCGTCAGGACCTAAGGGGTCCTCTGGATAGGTCTTGGTGGGCCATGGAATATAGTTCTCTTTGGTCAGAGACCAGCCCTTCTCATGTTCAGCATGCCAGAATGGGAAGTATCGATATCGGAACAATTTCCAGACACCGTTCTCTTTGATATATTCGTTCTCGTATAGGCCGCCTTCCCACCATTGGACATGTCCGCGTGGATGAGTCTCCTTGACAGATTGATGCGTTCCGGCCTGCATCAGAGCTCGCATTCTGCACCAGGCGTGTGTTCCGCTAGGGTCAACATCGACAATATCTTGCATCATAATGTGATCTAGCAGAAAACCGTGGACTGGTCCGTTACGGCCATTAACAAAGCTCTGCTGAAAACGACCATTATAGAGTCTTTTGACGCCTTCTTTTCCTCTATATCGCGACCCAAGGAATTCCACATAAGTGTCTGGATGATCCGCGTACATGTCCACAACCTGAACTCATGCCAGTTAGTATACCTGATAATAGAGAAATATAAACAATATCCACCTGCCTCATTATATAGGCACTTGTCAAGGTAGTAGCCATATTTGAAGTGAGTTTTTCGCACTTCAGCTTCGTCTGAGATGCGCGAGACCTCATTTCGGAGAAGAGCAACCTGCTCCTTCAGCTCTGCTAGCTCAGATCCCATGATGGCTAGAGGTGAAGTTCAATCTGGATTATACTTGAGTGCACATTCACAAGAGAATTCGTATCTGGCCCTGACTCGGCTTGATATTTAGCCAAATATATATGTCCCTCCAGATTGAGCTCAGGAAGACCCCTGTTCCGAAGGGCCATCTTGGTAAGAGCTATGTCATAGGACTAGATTGTAGCTAGTCTCTGAAGCTGGGCTCGGCAGATATTCCCAGGTCGTTCAATGCCAAAAAGAGCATCGTCTAATCCGCAGGTGCGGGGAGCCTGTCGACCCCGCGGGAATTTGGAGACTATAAATGAAGCAATCAAAATTGAAGCCGGTTCAAGACAGCGACGTAGTCTCCAGTAGCTTGGGTAATTGTGTTCCTGCGGGAGAACTATGACGAATAAAGAAGTCATACCGCAGCAAATAGACGTTGTCTCCAACCAAGTAAACATTTAACAATTAGTTCTAACGAGCGGTTTTCCGTTAGATGCTTAACCCAATGAACAAGAAGTTACCGAAGTCTCTAAGTTTCATCTTGGGGACGTAGTAATAGGGGTAAACCTAGGCCTATGTGGTATGTAACTCAACTTGTAAGCACTATGCCGAAATGAATCTAATGTATATTAGTATAAAGAGAAGAATTATACATAATCATATATTAAAAATAACCGACCTGCCCTAGAGTGTCGCCTATGTATAAAGGAGTGGTGTTGAAAGGTATGTTATCCATAGCTTCAGATGATGTTTCTTGCCTTGCTGTAATGAGTTTCTAGTACCCGTAAAGCCGCACTTCCGCATTATTCAAAAGACGACGCATGTACCTTCCCCTGGCTCCTTAGCGTGTACTTCCGAGGAAACCTTCTCCTTCTCTCATAAAAGATGTAGGGGGAAGAAATAGGGGAAATGGCAATGGACATCGTAATAGAACTTAACCTAGCAGGTGACTGATTAACCTCCCAAAGCACCCAAATCAACCTTTTATTCTTCGACATTATGCACTTTTAGAAATGTGAGCTATAGACACACAGGTTTCATCAATTCGAATTCGGCGTACTATCATCATCTTAAGAGTTTATTATCAAACACAGTCTATAGCTAGCTGCATTGATACTTTATTCTATAACACCTTCACGATGAAACTGGCTGGCTTCCTACAAAGTTACGTAGCATCGGCTTTAATAGCTTCCCTACCTATCGCCGGGGCTGCTATAGATAAATGCGACGGAGTCTTGGTCTCGGAAGTATGATACCAGATACTATTCCGTTAAGACAGACCGCGGAACTGACAAAGGAGTGCAGACACTTCCTGTCCTTATAAACTCGACTGCCCTCCACGAACATTTACAGGCATTGCAAGAGATCGCAGACGTACACCATGGGAGCAGGATAACTGGCTCCGCTGGCCATAACCAAACTATACAGGTGCACAATGTTGGCTACACACATATATATATGGGCACTAATCTGGCGTCCAGTATATTCAAGATCACTTGAAGTCTCGGGGTTACTACGTGGAGGTTCAGCCCTTCCATGATTTGATACAGATCAACAGCAAAGCTACCTTGTGGGCGAACGGTGAAGCTTTCGATGTTGAGCCGATGGGATGGTCTCCCGAATGCGCTTTTACTGAACGCCCTCTCGTAGCCGTTAATGGCGTAGGGTGTAAAGCTGTAAGTAGCTCAGTAGCTTATTTGACGACGATTGCTAATATCATTAGACTGACTACCCACAAGAGGCTTTAGATTCGGTTGTAATGGTTGGTTCGGGCGGATGTTCCCTCTCTGACAAGTCGATAGCCGCGGGTGAAGCTGGAGCCATAGGCCTCTTAATGTATGAGTTCACGCAGCTCACTCCAAGCTTAGGCGGGCTTAACGATCGTCATATCCCATCGGCGAAAATAGCTTACAGGGATGCTGAGCGCATTCTGGCACATAGACTTCCCCTGTCCGTCAACATTTTCGACATTTATATGCAGTACAAGGAGGTCTCTAGGTTTGTACCGCTCGACTAGTGTATTATGTTTTCACACTAACTTCGAAAAGCTACAACGTGTTTGCAACCTAGGAATATGGAAACAGGGACAAGATGTTGTTGGTTGGTACGCATACCGATTCAGTCAGTTCAAGCGCAGGCATCAACGACAATGCCAGTGGTGTAGCCAGTCTTCTAGAGATAGCCACGCAGCTCTCAAAGTTCAAAACGAACTCAACAGTCAAGTTCGCCTTTTGGACAGCCTCAGAACCATGCTTGCTAGGCTCCAAACACTGGATGTATACTGCCCACAGGGAGGAGCTTCAGAAAATACGTCTTTACCTCGATGCCAACATGCTCGGCTCACCCAATGGCGCCCTCAAGGTATATGACGGGCATGGCTCCTCTTTCGGGACACCTGGACCACATGGCTCCGGAGAAGCCGAGACAACTCTAACACAAGGCTTTGAGGCTCAGGGCGTCAATTTCACAAGGACCGAGATCAGTAACCGTAGCGACTACGCTACATTTTTTGATGCCCAGATCCCTTTTGCCGGTCTTTTCAGCGGCGCCAACGGATTAAAGACATGGAAGGAGGTAGGTATGTTCGGAGGCGACGCCGGGGTTCCATACGACGCAAACTATCACGAGCGAGACGATAATATACATAATATCAATATGACAACCCTGTTGCAAAACACAAAAGCATTAGCCCACGCCGTCGGAGTTTACGGAAGAAGTCTTGACAACTTTCCGGCATCAGCAATCCGGCATTACGGCACGTCAACGGAATATCTATACCCACTGCTGGCCTCAGCATGGGTTGCATACTACTTGTTGTCATAACTAGTGTAAGCTAATTATACCCTTTGGATCCGATTACACCACTGGGGGGGCGGTAATGCTGAGAACGAGTACGTAGTATTAATTAGAACACCTACACACATCGCGTAATTGCGAAATAAACCTTGAGATTAGCTTCTCTGCTAGACGCTCCCATAAAATATCATCGATGTGACTGATAATTGAGAATTCATGGTTGGTGTGATCTTACGTTTTACTTGTTGTTTTTTCCCCCTTTCCAGCTCCAGGATCTACATCGAATTACGCCTCTTCCAAGCCGAATCGGCATCCGGATGAATCTTGGGCACTTCGACGTCCTTCCTCAGCTCCTTCTTTCGCTTCCAGTCGGAGCCGAACCTCCTGTCGCGGTCGCCTACCGCCTTCTCAAAATCGAACTGGCCGTCGGCTGTGAAGCTAGTCATCAGCTTGGGCTCGCCAAGCGGGAGAGCATCGCCCCGGTCCGTCTGCCATAAGTGGTAGACCTTGCCGTACAAACCCACGACGTGCTTCATCTCGTGCGTCTCGGCAGCCTCCCAGACCTGCTGCGCGCCGGGCATGGTCGTCGGCCCCGGCATGATTAGCATGCCGGATTTCACCTCGTAGACGTGCGAGTGCCATAGCTTCCGCTCCTCGGCGGGTAGAGTCTCGTACAGCTTGGGCGTGACCATGTACTCGATGCCTATAAGCCGGGCGTTGGGCCCGGGGCTATCGTAGAGGATGCATTGCCGGACGTCTGGGGTGTGTTAGGATGAGATGAGATGAGACGGGGTGAATATAGGGGCATTCGCAATCTATCTACCTTCGGTTAGGTGAGCGCAATAGTGATTCGCTTCTACGTAGCGGCCTGGGTCGTCGGCGTATGTGTGGAAGGCGTTTAGGTGAGCGCAGAGTTGCTTTGTGGGTTGGAAGTCTTGGATCATGGACGCGCCGGTCTCGAGGATTGTATCCTCGGTTGGGACTGGGCCGCCGGGGACGTGTGGATTTGTTGCCATGGCCTTGTATGGTGCTATCAAGAAGAAGGGTAGGCTGTAGACTTATAATGGGGTTGACATATCTTGAGGGTTTAGAATTATGTCTTGTTCGAACATATACTGACTAGCTCGTATAAGTGAGCTTGTATAAGTGATGCCCTTTAGATGCTAGTACGATAAGAGTATAAATACCACAGGCTCAATGATAATATACGTAGAGATTACCTATTCATTGCCATATATTATTCTACACCTACCAATACTTGTAAAGTTGTATTCAATCTCAGCTTGATAGAAAACAATAATGCTGATGTCATGAGTGCGTCGTCCCCCGCCGAATCAGCGGGACTCATTAGAAACCGGCAAACAGAATAACATGCTAGGTTAACTGCTTTATAAATGGCTACAGTCGACAACTTCAAATCTAAGTTAGAGGTGCTGTCGCATCTATAAAACTTAATAGTATATCAGAAAAGAGGTAGATGGATCTCAAGAAATCACGTGTAACCCTCTATCGCAACAACCTTATTACTACATAGGTACATAGTAACTAGAGTGTACTTCGTACAGTGCATACCATGTACCCTTTCGCACGCTTCCTTCCCCCACAGGGGTCTGGCCATAGCGTCATCCTATTAACGCCCCATTGCCCCATTGACGAAACCGCAGCCTAACAATTAATCAAACCTAGTAACTCACCAATCAACCACGCAACCACGCAACCACGCAACAGTAGAGTTTCACACCAACACCAAGCCCAATTGCGTATCCCGAATTAAAAAATCCCAAATTAAGAATCCCAAATTCCAATCTTTGCGAATTTTGATATATACCAACTCGAGGGGCTCAAACCCAAGCAAATCATGGCGGCATCCCGCCGCGGCCAGCCCGAGCTGCAGGTCCGCCTTCCCTCGGCCCAGAACGCTGCGATTCCCGAATTACCTCCCATATCCGCCCTGTTTCTGATCGACTTCGACGTCAAGGCCGGGTATACCATCTCGTGGAAGGCTTCTGGGCCTGGGGTAGAGCTCGAGGGCGTTGTCGAATATAAGTCCCTGCCTTCGGGACTACATACCGTTTCGGAGGACTTGATCTACTTCGTGCACGATGGGTATGCGGGGTTGAGCGCCTTCGTCAATGCGCCTGTTGAGGATAGCGAGGTGCGGAATGCTAGGATGTTGGCGGTGGGTGTGCTGGTGCCGCTGAGTTACGGCCGGTTGGGAAGAGCTTGGAGACATGCTGAGGGCTTGAAGACAATGGCATCGACATTTGCTACCAGTGCCAAGGACATCGGTATATTGGAAGAGTACTGGCAGAAGCACCAGGCCAAGGAAGAATCAGTTGCGCCGGTCGAAACTGTCGAGTCGCCATCTATTGTCTTTCAACAACCGCCGAAGCAATTTCAAGGCCACGCTAGGAATCGTTCGGCCTCTGATGGAGCAGCTTTACTACCGCCTGGCCATAGACTATCCGCCTACCATCCTGCCTGGAGTTTGACAAAGCTGCTGAACACATTTGGGCCCCTAATATTTCCAATATACCGTGCTGCGTTGTTGCGCAAGCGCATTTTAATATCATGTCACGCACCCGTACAAGAAGCTTGTAACTTCGGTCAGTCTCATCATGTATTAGCATTAGCTATACTAGTCTGCTAACAATGATCCTAGTTTACGACATATCTATTCTATCCAATATCCCACAGCCAATATTCGACCTCTTATCCCCTAGCTCGCCCCCCCACCGCTTACGACCCCTCTTCACCATCGGCGTCCACGATATCCCCTTCCTCGTTGAGGACTCTAAGCCCAGACGCAACAGCGACGAGTCCCCGGAAAGCGATCATGAGGCGGGAACTGGTTGGATAGCCTGCACGACGGATAGTATCCTCGCCATGAAAGATACGCTCTGGGACGTCCTCGTCACCCTACCAGCTCCGCACTCCGCCAAAGCAGCGCGGCGCATCTGGCCTAAGATCGAGGGGTCGGGCGGTATTCCAATCCGCGCCTCACAGCGGGACCTGCGGCGCTTCCGCTCCCTCGAGGCCGGACTGGCCCGGCTATCCTCACAATCTAGCTCCGGCGCGTCACCCACCACGCCTCGAGACCCTACTGCGACTAACAACCCGTTTTTTGATGATGCAGAGGAGAAGGAGGTTGTCGAACCCCTCAGCTGGACCGCCCTTGCCTATAATGGCTTCATGTGGTGGGCCTCGGCCGGCGAGCAAGCCCTCACAGAAAGAGCCGAGGAATCAGCCCGCGACGCCGAGCTCCTCGCCGACATGGCCGGTTCACCATCTTCCTCTTCCGCAGTCCGAATGGAGGCCCCCCTTCTCTCCGCGTCCGTCGCCTCACTGCCACCTGCCGATCCCGACGAGGCGCGCACAGAACTCGCGCTTATCGCGTATTTCCACCGGCTTACGATGCAGGTCCTCGGCACGCTTGCGGACATCGTCGAGAGCGACGAGGACGACGGGGAAGACGGTTCCAGGGGCGATAACGACGACGACGACGACGGTACTGCCGCGCTAATAGACGACGATGACGCCGCGGAGGGCCGGGGCGTGCGCGTAAGCAGTGAGGATGTCGCGCGCATGGGCCTCGACGTGTGGAGCGCTGCGGACGCGGCGTTTGTGACGGCGGCTGTGGAGGCGTATTTTGGTCGTAGGGCGTATGTGGAGGGGAAGGGGGTTGAAGTTTGTGGTGTTAGAGTATGTTAGTGGTGGATGGATGGATGGACGGGTGAGTAGGTTTAATGGTCGTGAAATACGGGGTTTGACGAGCTACTTCGCGGGTAGTAATAGTGGTACGAAGTGAGGAAAGGAGATGATGCTCCGTTGTATATTAATATTGTCCTTCTCGTGAACTGGTCACGAGATAGGATAGGATAGGAGGTTAGGTACCTACCTAGTGTTCGTGTTCGGGACACGGGAGACCCTCATATTGTCTTAACCTAGGTAGGTACTGGGTCGCTCGCTGGTGTGTTATCTGTACCTATATTAATTAGTTCGTGTGTGCCTCGTATAAAGGCCTCGGAGATGGGAATTGAATATATTACAAAGCAAAGTAAAGTAAAGTACGATGACTGCCCTAGCAACAGCATTACTACCTATTTATTATAGGGGGCAAGAAAAATAAGCACCGAGGTTAGGAGGTAGTCTCGAGAAAGCGCCCGGTCTATTTTCAGCTTCAACATGGCGTATGTGTAATGTTTATTCAGTAGACTATACATTATGAAAACACAAGCTAGAAAAGCAACTTAGACGTAGGTACGTCGCAAGTCTGATTGATACATGTATACAATTATTCCCCCCCTTCCCCCCTTTAACCATCCAAGTCACAATCCCCCCAATTCCCATTCTCACGAACACAGCACAAATCATGCAACACTAATCCACTCACAACTCAAAAAAACAAGCATGCGAACATGATATCTGGTCTTAAACTTTCATCTGCGTTGCGCGCGAGCTTGCTTGCTTGCTCTAGTATATACGCCCCTATCACAGGCGCCTGTCTCCCCACAACGCCACGACGCCGATCCTATGCCGTTGCGGCGTGCGCGCTTTTTCCCGCGCAAAGAACTAACTAACTATACACGTGCGCTACCATCTCAATCGAGATGCAACCATCAGTATCAGACACTACGGTCTGATTAGGGGGGGGAGGAGGGGGGCAAGGGGGAAATAGTACTCCTGATTAAGGTTTTCAATGCACGACCGATTATACTGAAATCTCGGTGTCAGCGCTTGCTTCGCTGGTTCTATCTTATTCCTCCTCACTACTACTACTACTATCTTCGTCGTCTGTCATCGGGAACTCGATATCCTACGATTCGGGTTCGGTATCAGTGTTTGTTTCGCTGGTGCTATCTTCTTCCTCTTCGGTACCGCTCTCCTCATCCGAGTCGTCGTCGTCGTCTTTCCGCCTCTTCGGCTTTGTGGTGCCTGCAACGCTACCGCCCTTAAGTGCGCTCATCTGACCAGCAAGAGAATCTGGATTTACGTTAGAATAGGATATAAATATATGTTCAAGTAGAAAACTTACCTTCTTCTGGCTCACTAATTTCATCTTCTCCGGCCATTGCAGCCGCCTTGCTGGCATCCTCAACGGTAAGGGTAACCTCCATCTTCGTGTCAAACCCAATGTAACTGTCGCACACAACGTGCATGACAAATGTGTAAGTACCAGCTTGAGGAGGAGCGGCGAACTGGGCCTTCAAGGTCTGCATGTGATATGTCGGCTTTCCGTCATCTGTGAATATAGGCATGTCGAATGTAGTGAATGGGAAAGGCTGTACGGCCATCTTTCCCTGTTTGCTATCCGAGAGAAAGATGTTCCATTTTGGTGAATGATCACGGGAATAGTGAGGAGCAAATGCAATGGGTGGTGATACGGGTTTGCTATCTTCCTTTGAGATTATCTTTCCATTTGCGTCTTTCACTGCCTTTTTGCGTCCCATAAGTGCGTCGAGATCATCCTCAGCAGCATCGACATCCTCTAGATCAAGCTCGTCGATCTCCGGAACGTTTGTGCTCCCAGGAGGAATAAATCGGCCCTTCACAACAAGAGTGACCAAAGATGAGGGGATAATAAACCGCTCGCCAGCAACCTTGAAGAATGCCTTTGCGATTCTAAGGTAGGGAAGCTGCTGCGCGACACCGACCGCTGTCTTGTACTGCTCTTCGTTTAGAAGTCCTGCTCCGACTACAGCACTTCTGCGCTGCGAGTCGGGTCGATCCATAAATTCCTGAACAGTAACATGTGTTTTTGAGTCGCCCTCAACGGCTTTCACTACAGCTGGTGTAAAATGGGGAAGCTGGAACAGAGGAGAGGCCTTCGGAGGCACGGCTTGGATGAGTCGTTGGCTAACATAGAACGAGGAGAGGATAGGAACGATGTTGCCGTATGCGAGTGAGATCACTCTGAAGGAACCGCAGAGGCTCTGCGCAATCGGCGCAACCATGTACTTTGCACTGTTCAAAGCTGGGTCGTCGAGCTCTACACGGCCAAGGTAAGCCCATAAAAGTGCCAGAACCTTTCTCCTCACGCCGCTGTCGAGATCCTCTAGCTTCTCTTTGTCCTTGACTGATAGCCCGCCTGCAAAGGGGGTGATTTCCCCTTCTGCCAGTATCCTCGATTCGATTTTGGCGAGACCGGATTCGGCTTTGTCTCCCTTGAGCGCATCCTGGAATTCCTTACCACAGCTAAGAGCAGTCACAAGGTCCCCCTCGTCCGTAGTCTCGGAGTACTCGCGGAATAGGTTGTTGGCGCTCTCGACTTGGACTCCCTCTTTAGTTATACGTTGGGTACCGTACCACCAGGATCCGACGTAGTAAGGTAGCATAACTCCGAGAAGCAAAGCGTACACTAGCACGACGTATTTACCATTCCCTTCGGATATGATGAACTGGGGGAGGGCAATTCCAATGCTGTAGCTTTGCTTACCGTCGGGGTGTCCATATTGGATGTAATTGTTGCGAACCTCCTCGTCCGTAAGTGCTTGGTATGCCTTCGTAAGATCAACCCATCTATCGCTCAATGTCTCGGCAGTCTCGTTCTTAGCTGGGTCCGGCTTGGCCTTGTCCGGGTGAAATTTGAGACCGAGCTTTCTGTAGTGAGATCTGATCTGTTTTTCGGACGCTGACTAGAATAAATTTTATTAATACAAATACTGGAAATGCGCAAATTACAAATACATACTTCAGAGACTCCCAGAATATCATAGGGATTCCATATCTTAGCCGTCGTTCGTTGGGTAGTAATGATTAGGTATAACATTCCGGCCATGAGGGTCCATCCTATCAGAGCAGCAATACCGCGCTTGACCTTGCGCTGCTTTCGCTTCTGGGCTGCGCGCTGCGCTTGAATAAGGTCGGCATGTTCTGGTTGGTATGAGGTCTTTGTCCGCGGTGCAAGTGCGGCAGGGTCTTTGCTCGGGGCGAGGAGGCTATATGTGAGAGGTAGTGTGACGATAGAAGTCAGAGTGAATACGAAGAAAGGGTAGAATTGTCCCTGTTCGTCGTAAGAATACTCTGAGCCCATGGTGCAGACGAGCCCTATAACAGGGACTTTGAAGTAAATTCGTTAAGGACCTCAAAATATGTTTCGTCTGGAATTGTTGTTGTCGAGAAATTGGAAATTGTCGAAAAGAGAGAGAGAAGTTGTTGTGCTGGAGTTGAATCAGATTGGTTAAATTTAGAATCGCCAGTCAAGGCAAGCTGTCCAAAGGAATTGCATAGGTTAGGTACCTAACCTAAGGTAACCCGTCTTGAATCGTGGCCTTCTAAATTTCGAGTGGCTACGTACCGGTGGGTCTCCGAGTCCTTATCGATAGGATAGGATATCAATAAATGTGGCGTGTCTGCATGTCCGGCTTCCATATCATAAACCGGGTTCTATTCATCAGGTACCCGACTTTTGTACCTGACTAAAACTACCAGGTTTTAATATCAGAATCGCTCAACTGCATTAACCATCGAGATAAAGCATTTACTCGCAATAATGTTGTCACATCTCATTCTGTGTACTTCAAGTGGGTGTTCTTGGTTTTCTTTGTCTACAAATTATTCCACAAACCCTGTCTTGGAGTTGTCCTAGAAAAGAGCCTTTGTGTATTCATGAATTATACTTATGAACCTAGGCAGACCGCTCAGGTTCCGACGAATGGTATCATGGTTCCAACTCTGCTCTTATAATTTATATACTCCTCCCCAAAAAACCGAACGAGCAGTGCCTCTTCGTGCTTTACTCTGCTAGAAAAGAACTTCCATAGGACAACCGTGTAGCCTATAAAGCAGATAGGGTTTCCCAGGACCATCTGCGTCCCTATGCTCCAGTAGAAAAACCCAAAGTACGCCGGATGGCGGAAAAATGAGTAAATACCCGAGGTAACAAGGGTATGAGAGTCCTTCTTGCGCTGCTGAATAGTATGGTTGAACGACTGTCCAGCCTGGCCCATCGCCGCGCTGCGGACGAACTGCCCCACAAACACCAATATGAACCCTAACAGCAAGATGATATGCCCACTATAGAGCGGCGCCCAATTTCGATTCGGGAACAGTAGCTTAGTGAAGAGACATTCAAGCGACGCCGCCGTATGCGCAATAGCATAAGCCGGCCAATTCGCCGTTAACAAGAACGAGCCGATATTCGCGACCGGAGTATTGTACCTGGCAGTAGTCCAAAACTCGAGGAAATGGAACGTCGCCAGCGCGCCGATGAAGAAAGGCACGCGCCACAGCGGCGAGGACGTAAAGACCAGGATCGAAATCATAGCGACTGCGGACAAGGCGAGCGCTATGCCGAGGCAAAAAGACCGAATCGCAATGCCCTCGAGGGACTTGGGCCCCGCGGGGAAGTAAGCCCGCTCGGGCGACGTCTGGACGCTCTGCGCAACGGGACTAAGGAGCGGAAGCAGATTGTCAGCATTTGCGCGCGTGTTAATCGAGGCGAGTTTTGCAATGGAGCGCTGGCGCGTGTTGAAGCCCGTCGCCCACGACACGTCGTCCTCGTCGTGGCCGTGCAGAGGGGCAAGCCCACCGAGCACGGGTGTAACAGGCGTCGGCGTGGGTGTAGGCGTAGGCGTATCTGACGCAGTCGGCGGCGGAGTAGTAAGTGACATGATAACACACCAGGGACTAAGATGATCTACTAGGAGCAGCTAAAGCGACGGGGAACGTCGGGTAAGAAACCGGCCCAGGTAGTATCACGGCGATGATTGCTTTGAAATAGAGATTCGACAGTTGCTAGAACAGAAAGCAAACTTACCTATCCGGCGGTGATTCCATTGTGCTCCGGAAATGCCACTTTCTCCTTTTTTATTATCTCGGAGTCTCTTCGCTTGATATCAAGGACAAAGACGGGTTCGTTGTGAGAACCAGTCCATGATATGTGTGTACGTTGTTGTATGGAGCATAACAACGGCTTAGAGTTATGTAGATAATCAAGTTGATAGGATACGGCACCGTTGATAAGGTATCGAAGACATTATTTTTATGGGTCCGCCTAAGACAACAGATTATGTACAAAGACACTTACCTAAGCAAGTATCTACATATGTAGGTACATGTAGGTACTAAGTCTACATCTACGTTGAGCTTTTGAAATTCTAGACCTTCGGTAAAGATTCAACCTAGTAGAGCATCAATGAAAAGAAAAAAAAGAAATATAAACGTCAATAAAACTCAGCAAAATAATGCCCATCACTCCAGGACAATATCATGTCACTAATTTGTTTTATTCGTACCTTGTTCGTAAAACAGAGCGCCAAATCTGGCTCATTCCTCGTTCATAAAGCAAAGGGTATCATAACTTTTCTCCGTATCCCGTGATCCTTACTACGAATCATTCAATGCCGGGTCGATCAAGCCATCCAAATCACTAGGCTGGATGAGTTGTCTCATCTCGGCCTCGTCGTGAAACCATTCCTCGTCAAACCTTGGTGCCATTGAACCCTCCAGACCAGTATCAGCCCCAATCCAGAATTCGCCGTTCCTACCACCCGCCTCTTCCAAATTCCCTGCCCCTTGCATCATATTGTCAAATACCATAGGCAGCATTGGGTCTGCCCCCGGCTCTGCTAGTTGTTGTAGTGCGTGCTCGATAATATGCTCATTTCGTAGGTGTGCCTCAAGTTCGCCATTGTGTATGAATTTGGCGGCACAGCCAGAAATTGTACATGGCAGTGTCCGTCTAGACTTCCCCATACCCGTGAGCTCTTCGAGGATATCAGACGGATCGCGTCGCTTGGGCTTGGATACTCCCTGAGGCTGTTCTGGTCGTTCATACTTTAGATGTATATAGCGAACATGGTTCTCTAGATTGGCTTTGGTAACAAAGCTCTCCCCGCAACCATCGGATTGTAACCAGCACTCCAAACCATCTGCCCCACTGAGATCAACCTTTCCGCAGACGAACCGCAGACCCTCATGGAAGCTTCGTACGTGAACATTAAGGTTTGATTTCTTGGTGAATGTCTTGGTACAGCCCGGCCACGTGCAAGCAATATTTTTTCGTTCCTCGATGCTCTTAGGATTTGAGTGCTCCGAGTCGATATGCTGCTCAAGATCTGACCTGCCATTACATTGGACCCCACAGAACATACAGCTGACATGATCTTGTTTCATGTGAGCCTGCAATAGGGCCATTGTAGTGAATCCTACTCTCTCCGGTTGATCGCCATCGATATTCTCCTGGTGGGTACTGCATTCCTCACACCAGAAGCGAATCTCACCATGTTCTCGCTCTTGGTGGCGTCTTAGAGCTCCAGCGTTATCGAACCCTGCGCCACAAGCATCTCCCGATGTGCCATCTTTATAGTCGCAAGGGTAGGGAGCAACACGAAGATGCTCGGCGCGGATATGACGTTGTAAAGTCTGATGCTTGCGGAACGACTGGTTACATGGCGGGAAGTCTCGGCATCGGAATCTCTCTTGGCCCTCATGAACAGCTTGGTGTCGTCTCAAACGAGTAGCGGTCATAAAACTCTTGCCGCAACCAGGTTGGACGCAACGATGTTCGCGCTCGTCAGTGTGGGAACCCTTGATATGCTGTCTTAAGTGTTTCTCCTCAATATAGTCTTTGTCGCAACCAGGGAATGAACATTTATACGGTCGCTCCTTGTTGTGAGATCGCATGTGGGCAGCAAGACGGGCTGGGCGGTTGAACGTCTTGTCGCAATCGGGGAATGTACATTTGATCGTCTTGAGGTCTGAAGGAAACTTGCGAGCAGGGGAAAGAGGAGTCAATGGGGTATCGTTGGCAGGAATAGTAGATGATGTGCCGGCATAGTGTGATTCATCGTCGTCGGAACCAACATCGTCAACGTCTAGTTCAAAGTCGAATTCTAGTAGAGAATGACAGCAGTTAGTTATTGAATTAGTTAAAGAGTTAATAATACTGGTAACCTACCATCAGGATCGGCAATCCTACTTCTCTTAGCTTTGGTCCCATTAGGGTCCTCGGCTTCCTCAATTGCAGTCCTCTTCATAGTAGAACAAGTTGCGATTGACCATGTTTGTAGAAGCAAATTGTTAAGTTGTAGGTTAATTGCATGTGCTTGAATCAGGACCCTTGAAAGTCAATTGAGGAAAATATTGTGCCGGACAGCTTATCGAGAATGATGATAATCCAATCGATAAGAAAAGTTTTTATGGGGAAACGTTTACTTAACCTAAGTATTAGGTACGAACTTGCATTAGGTAAGTCGCCTGAAAGCAGCTGAACAAAATGGTCAAAGCGCTAGTTCTAGTTAATTCTAGCTAGGTAGACGGTAGACGTGCAGTCATAACAATCCTTGGCCTCGATTCTTTTACCTATCAGCTTTTCTAATTTTTTCGCATCGCATCTACCAAATCGCGTCCTCGTCTGCGGTTTGTCAGCCAACATCACAGCTACACTAATCCTTAGGCATATAAAGCTCTTCTTTAGAGTCTATTGAGTGATTTTCATTAATCAAAATGTCTGATTTTGGTGATGATGGGGATGTCGGTGGAGCGTAAGTTATGCTATTAGCACCAGCTGTATTAGCACATACAGAGTGTCCAGTGCCCTAACGCGTTGCAGGGACGAGCCTATGTTCGAGGATGAAGAGCCCATAGACGATGAGCTCGACCCCGAAGTTCCCGACAACGAGGAGGATGAATTCACCCGAAGAGGCGTAGATGAAGAAGAGAACGTCATCGTCTCGGGCGATCCATCTGCTGCTGCAAACCGAACAAAGTCTACGACAAAGTTGAACAAAGACAAAAAGATCCCTAACGAGGAGCGCTCCACCACTCCATACCTAACAAAATACGAGAGAGCCCGTGTTTTAGGTACCAGAGCATTACAGATCAGGTAAAGCAACATGGACAAAGGTCACGAACCAGCAGAAGCTGACCGGGTATTGTATAGTATGAATGCTCCTGTCCTCGTAGATCTAGAAGGAGAGTCAGATCCGCTTCAGATTGCTATCAAGGAGCTGCGCGAAAAGAAGATTCCTCTGATCGTCCGCCGTTATCTTCCCGATGGCTAGTACGTCTCAATATTTCATCCCACAAGTGTAATTGGTTGGTGCTAATTATTACATAGTTACGAGGATTGGTCCTGCGAAGAGCTGCTCCAGTAAATTGGATCCGGGCATCAGCTCCCTCGGTCTTTTGCAATTTGCATATTGAACCGACTCTAGCATCCCTTCGAACGATCCTCCAATGGATAGGGTTGACCGATAGGACTACGCAGGAAGGAATCATCAGATGACTTAGAGAAGTTTGCACGAACACGGAGTTAGTGGTTGCTTTTCGGAATATATCAAAATTTCTTCTAGGCATAAGACTTCTGAGCACATGGCGTCGAGGAACTAATATCTGCTCGGTTGGTTACGTGGTAGCTAATCATCTCGCATGACGGCTGTAGGCTCCGTTATCAGCTTTTCCGCAAACTACCTAGGTTAGGTACCTCTCAGCCTCAATTAGAGGATGTAAGCGGTGAGCGGACGTCCTACGACCACGTGCGCTGACAAGAAAAATGTTGCCAGATACGGCCTGAGTTCCCTCACCGAATTCACCGGTGACTGCCGTCAGCTGCGGATTGATTGTTAGTGTCATTATTCTAGTTATTCTAACTAATAACCAACGAAAAAAAAAAAAAGAATTGATGCAATCTATGTCCCCGTTGATAAAACTTATAAATGCAACTACAATCTACCCGAGCCTATTCATACCTAGCAGGTAATCGCGCTTGTATTAAAAATATGTATACGCGAGTTCATTTGGACCATTCCGAAGGCTTGCCAGCTCATCCCTATACAGAATACTAGAGGCGCGCTTAAAATAGCGGTAAACCTTCGTATTGAATTGAATTCCGCATGAAATATCCAATGCGGTGTGACTATTCCGTATTTAATGTAAGGCTGCCGAGGGTCACATCCGCTTCGTCCCGCTAAACGGACAGAACAATCAGTACAAGTAATAACATCTTACCGGCGGAGCGGACCTATGACGTCGGCTAACCGTTTACATAAAAGGTTGAAAACTGCATGTCAGCTCATGCAGCAATAGCCGCATCTTCCCTTAGGTTCGGCAGGTTCGTCACTCGCATCACACATAAGGGTCCTGAAATTGCTCCTTTAGGACTGATAACATGACCACTGAATACGAAGTCTTGCCTTTAATTCTCTCAAGACTGTACCGCCACCACGCGTGAGCGTAGGTATGTTGCTTGGTACATTACGTTCTATCGCATCATCTAAAGTTATCAAGTTATCAAGTTTATACTCGCGAGTATCAATAGGGCGCATCATAGCCAATTCGCTAGGTTAGCTATTTAGGTAGATAACATGATATGTATAACTAGCATATAAGTAATCGAGACATGGTGTTTGTCGTTGGCAAACGGAAATGAGGCTAACAATTTACAACTTATCGCAACTCACAATATATAATTATTACACACATACCCAAATAAGGTATCCCTAGGTTAGGTACCTAGATACATTAGATACGAGATCTACCTAGGACTCGAGATTTAATCCTGGTGAATAACAGAAGCGACTTCACAAACGTACAGACCGGCAGTAGCTAGGGAAACAGAAAACTCCACCTGGTACTTCCTTTGTTCACCAGGTCTAAAATTAAATTCACATATCCATCGCTCCTAACAACACTCGACCTAAACACGAATACCCTTTCTTACCTCACACAAATTCGTCTTGCGCTCCAAAGTTTCTTCGCCAAAACACATCGTCGCAAGATTACTCTATCCACCCGCGACGATGCAGTTCTCATCTATCATTACCAGTCTCATCGCAGCTGCAACTTGCATCTCTGCCCTTCCAGCGCCGCAACTGGCCAAGAGAGAAATCGGAGGCGTAAGTTCTATCCCTTGCTTCTTCCCATGCCGCGTAGAGTACCTAGATTGCTAACTCGCGAACCTCCAGGTCTTGATCTGCAATGGTGCCAATGCTACGGGCACGTGTCACTATGAGGTCTACTCGATGCACGATTGCCACGAGCTACCCGACGGCCTAATCAACAACGCCAAGACGTTCGCTCCCGATGGCGATGCTTTCTACTGCTGGCCTAAGGTGTAAGTTGCAGGATATCTCTCTCCCTCATTATCATCGCGCACTTTAGCTAACTCACTATGTAGAGGCCGTTGTGATCAGATCTGCACGTCGCCTACGGGTTGCACATTCGGTGCTGTCTCCTTCTACAACCCCATCAAATGGGATTTGTCGACCATAAAGTGGGATACTCTGATCACATCCTTCGAGTGCGCGCTCAACCAAACCACGAAGGCATAGGCGCACGAAAATATTTTGGGAAATGTTGGCAGCTCGACATGGCGCTAATGAAGCAGACAGATAGTCTGTTGTTAATATTTCCAAGTCTGGTCTCCAACACTAATGCGAAGTTCGATTGACTTTCCCGCTTATTAACGAGTTCAAACTGCCCGCCACGGAGTCTAGTCGGCATTCGGGTTCTTTTTGAAATTAGAAGCTGCCAATGACGTCGCTCAAGCGGCTTAGAATGTGGGGTAGATAAACCCGTCAGCGGGGTCTAAGGTTAGCTCTCCCCTCTTCGTCTTGACAATTCGAAACTGCCGGGGAGGAGCTTGAGGGGCACCAAAAGCACATTACCGTTACCGTTGATGCAGCAATCGCATCATACATGTAATTATTCATAATTCATAATTCACTACGCTGTACATATTGGAAGCATCGTCACATCATTAGACTTAATTGACTTCACAGACCAAAGATATTCTTCTTAGTTCCCTCGCTGTCTTTGACTTGCACATCTAACCCATTAACCTAAGAAGAAGTCATCGTATCGCACAGTGGCATTCAGACTAATCGCAACAATGGCCTTCGAAACCAAAGCCACCATCGCCAACTTCGGCGGCAAGCTGCTCAAGCTGCAACACCAGTCCTCCAGCACAGGCACTCCTATGGACGTGAACCTATTCCTACCCCCCGCCGCAGTCTCCGGGTCCAAGGTCCCCGTGCTCATCTACCTATCCGGCCTAACCTGCACGCCTCAAAACTGCACCGAGAAGGGCTTCTTCCAAGCGCACGCGGCGCGCAAGGGCATCGCGCTAGTATGGCCCGACACCTCGCCGCGCGGCGCAAACCTGCCCGGCGAGACCGAGAGCTGGGACTTCGGCGCGGGCGCGGGGTTCTACGTGGACGCGACGGCGGCGCCCTGGAGCGCGCACTACCGCATGGAGTCGTACATCGCCTCGGAACTACCCGTCGCGCTCTTCGCCGCGTTCCCGTCCGCCCTCGACGCCGAGCGCGTCAGCATCACGGGCCACAGCATGGGCGGCCACGGCGCCCTGACCCTGTTCCTCAAGAACCCCGGCAAGTACCGCAGCGTCAGCGCGTTCGCGCCCATCGCGAACCCCTCCCTGTGCCCCTGGGGCGAGAAGGCCTTCTCGGGGTACTTGGGCACCGACCGCGAGGCCTGGAAGATGCACGACGCTACGGAGCTCGTGAGGGCCTGGGCCGGCCGCGATATCAAGGCCTTGGTGGATGTGGGCACCGGGGATAACTTTTATAAGCAGGGGCAGCTGTTGCCCGAGAACTTTGAGAAGGCGGTTAAGGAGGCGGGGGTTACGGGGTTGGAGTTGAGGTACCAGCCGGTGAGGTTTTTTTCTTTTTTTCTTTTTTCTACTGTTGATTATAGATTACCTATATGATTTGTTTAAATTTTGGGCGGGTTTGAGAATGGGAATGAGAATTTAAGCTAACTACCTGTGTGTAGGACTACGATCACTCGTACTTCTTCATGTCGACGTTCGCCGAGGACCACGTCGAACATGCTGCGAAGCACCTGTTCTCGTAGGAGTATATATATTTGAATGGCTGGTTGCAATACTTGGGGTCTGATGGTAGATTGTGTATGTTTCTCTAAATTTTGGACTCACCGGGTTGGGGTGAAAAAGGAACAGAGACCATAGTATAATAGAGGTAACGGAGAAGGCAATAACAAGAATCTAAGCTGAACAAAGATGCAATTTGCCTATCATGAGACCAATGAGAACTCGTTAAAATGGGAATATATAATATATACCTTCAATATCGCCTCGCTTGAAGAATTCAAACATAATTCTTTGTTCAGATTACTTGGTATATATTGACATTTGAAGCCGCCGATATCTTCAGGCAAGAAAAAAAGACAACAGACAACAATTCGCTCCGAGTGCATCGCTAGGTCTGGACCACTCTTCTGCTTCTAGCTGTTCCTCTTTTCAACGGGGCTTAAGTTCTCCTTCTCAAGCTTACTCTTCACTTCTGCGTCCACCTCCCGCCGTATCCGATGAAAGGCGAGCTTCTCAAACCGGCTCATCCCCTTCCACCAGTGGTGGCCGGCTTCGTGTTCGCTGATACGTTCGACGAGCTCCGACGTCTGGATCCTAACATCCCGGTCCTTATGGAATAGCCCGAGGGCTATATAGAAGAGTCCCGCGTGGGACTCGGGTGCTACCGATAATAGTAGGCTGATTTCGTCATACGAGTGGACGTACTGAGCAAACGTCAAATAGATTTCTTTACTCTGTGCTGGGGTCAGACGTTGAGACCGGAGTCGGTCGTGCATATGATGTAGGTCTATCCCTTTCAGGGGCCGGATAGTATATAATTTGGCGAGGTCCTAAAACTCGTGTTAGTTGGGAAGAATCGACAGTTTAATAAAGGCTGTCTCACTTGGATATAACTGTAGTAGCTTCGAGTATTTCTCCAACCCTCGATCCTACACACGTTACCAGCAAGCTCCTTTTGCTTGGCAGCCTCGTCCGCCCATACGTACCCATGCCCGCCCGTAAGAGTTTCGAACTCGTCACCTCCGATATAAAGAGCACTAGCTCCATAAACCGTCTCTTCGAAGGCTGCGGCTATCCTGGTAAATCTGACGACCCAGTCTCTCCACTTGGCTCGAATGACTTGTTCTCCGCGTCTCGCTGTTATGCTCTTGAGTATGTCATTCATGAATATTACATCTCCAGTAAAGTCCGTGGTTGCTGTATTAGACGAGCCGCTGAGCATGTTCGCAAATGACGGGTTCTGCTGTTGAAAGTATACAAGTCCCTCGGTGACTTGCGCAGGTTCAATCTTCTCGCTAATCTTCATCCGCCCTGTCTGGAGGTCGCATAGAAGATCCCACCATTCGGGGTGCAGCTCAAAAGTTGGGTTCGTAACTCCAGCAATAAAGCCAGGAACCTTCAGCAAATCGTCAACCTTGGTGAGGTCTGTATAAGGGAATGCATGTCTAGTGAATCCCCGCAGAAGACCGCCGGACGCAAGGGCGCATGCCGCTAGGACAGCCTCTGCAACCTCCCCTGACGGCATATTATGTCCAAGAAAAATTACTCTCTTCTGGGTCAAAAGTGCATTAGCAAGTACTATTATAGGATGGGTTCCTGGGCCGTTCGTAGTTAGGTGAGTATGTATAGAAAATTGTTGTATCGACTTTGCATGCGGCTCGGAAAAGGTCTGGATGAGTTTTATAAGTGAAAAATCCCCAACTGTTTCCGGCATGATTGCTGTTGGAACCTTGACAGGGATAGGAATGCCCTTATACATGACCTTGCTCTCGAATTCGTGAGTGTCTCGTGGAACTGAGTACGCGGATTGGCCTTCGAGATGAGCTTTCGTCCCAGCTCGAGATATACCCTGTAGCTTCGGTGGACTCCTACTTGCGTCGAATGGCTCACCAAACCCCTCGGTTTTGTCCTGAGCGATTCGTCTCTGTATCATTCGTTCAAACTTTTCGACGAATAGATCTTGATTACTGCTAGCCTGCAGGAGGTATCTCTCAAGCAAGTTGAGCTTTGGCATTAGGGACAGGTCCATATTATTGACGGCTTCATAGAGCAACGCCAGCGTCTCCGGGACAGGAGATTTATAATACTCTTCAAGCGCAAGCAATAGGAGAGGCTATCATAGTTAGAGAAGTAGAACGGGATGACAAAAGGGGCACTATAGCTAACCTTATATATGTGTAGAAAGGGGTGCCGTGTACATATAGCCATCGCTTTGACTACAGCGCCTCTCTTCACGCTTTTGTCGTGTCTTGTGTAAACCAAGTTCAATACGTATATTAATGGGGGTCCCTCTCCTCCTTCAGGTTCCGAGTCGGTCGATTCATCGTCGTCCCAGTCATCATCTTCCTCATCTTCGTCTTGCTCGTCATTCGTATCGTCATTTCCGGTTATGATCCCAGCGGCCCTGTCCCTTTTTAGTTTCCTCCTCTTCCGTCGTTCTGCTTTGTCTTTTTTTTCTTCGTCGTCATCCTCTTGGGTCGTGTCCTTATGCAAGAAAAAGATAGTCCAATCTTGTGTACGCGAATGGACTTGGTCTGGTAACATAAGCTCTGCTAACATGTTTTCATCACCGGTTATCGCGACAGGGTACTGGTGCTCCATGACAGGACCTCGGTCGATGTCAAAGGAGGCAACCAAGATATACTCGACATGGTTCTCGGAGGACTCGCGAGGATACTGGGAACGTAGTTTCTTGGGAGACTGGCCATTAGGGTTAGGCCGCCTTGGCGGTGAGAGAGAAGAATGTTGTGAAGATTCGGCGGTTTGGCTCCCAAGAGATGAAGTCTTAGATTTCGAACTAGGATCTGATGTGCGGTCGTTGTTTACCATTGGGGGCTGGGGCGATCGTGGAGGTCGCGAGTGATGAGACATCTGCGAGGGCGAGCGCGACGACAGAAAGGACGAAAGCGATGTGCGATGGTTATGATTCGCGCTACCACCATTGGAGAGAGATTGGCTCGTATTTGTTCGCGAAAGATGGGGGAACGCCATTTGAGTTGATATAATTAGCAGTCGGTTATTCTCATTTGGTATGATCGTCGCGTTTGACGAGTCCGCCGCTCGGGTGGACTGCTCGAGCGTTGATCGCCGCGGTCACGACCGGGTCGCCTTAGTTTCTTTAACGGATAGTACTAGAGGTCTAAGTCTCAATGCGTCGCCAAAGTATATACAGCTTTACAACTTCGTCTCGCGACTGTGTTTAAGTCAAATTGAGGGTGAGTGCGATTCGTTAACGATTCGTTAACCCGTTGCGGGGATTTTTCGATCAGCGCCGCTGTGCCATTCGCAACTCAGGGGTCGTCGTGGGTATATGGGTATATGGGTATCTTGATATCTCGATTGGCCGTACCACCGACTGCACCGACCAAAATCAAAAATCAAACCAGATGTCGAACAATGCCAGCAATAAGAGAAACAGAAAATTGAAGTCAGAGAAAGCAACGGCCGAGACATGATCTGCTACATAGCCATCTCTTCGGAATTGTTTGAACTTAAAAGGTAGTATTTCACCCTGAGCAGGGGGAAGATGTGGGAAGAAAAGGTACGAGACGAAAGCGAAAGACGTTTCGTATCAAACCAGACCCTTGGCCTTTGGGATTTGGGATTTGGTAGGACCCCTGTAGTCATCATTATGACCAATGGTTCGCTCAGATGGACCCTAGAAGCTTTTGGGGGGAGGGGGGGTGCTAGGGGGCTAGTTCCTGTCTCCTCTTTTTAGCGTCTTCTTTAGCGCTAGAACGTAGATACATACATAGGTAGGTAGCTAGCAAAAAGGCTCTCTATCAGTTTACCTACCTACCTACCTAGGTACCTACCTACATTGGGTATTGTACATACATGCAGCATGCTGCTTGTGGCTTCCCAAAATGACCCTTAAACCCCACCAACAGCTACCAGTTTTACCATTTCAATCACCGATTCAGATCCATCATAGACCGATCAACTACAAAGTACATACATCATCTATGGGCATGTACGACATCGATAGCCCATTTTCGTAATAGGCCAGCGCCTCGTTTACTATGTACAAGAGGCAAGCTAAGCAAGGCCACAACCTATCTAAATCTACTTAAGTCAAGGATCATCCGTGCAATTCCTCTTCCGGATAACTCTATTTCTTCACTGCGACTCCTCCAGTTCACTCTAAGAAAGGTAAAAAAAATATAGTAATACTACATACATGTAGTATGCGAAGGGACCTTGTGAGCCTTTCACCTGCGCTACAATATTGCGAACTAGATTGCGCCCGATTGTGTCCAAGCGGGCTAGGCTCAAGCCAAATGTGCCGCCATGCTATTTATTGTTTAATAAAAACGGTCGGAAGCCACATATATCTGCATATGTTCTGCATGAGTTTATGCTAGATGCCCATTAGATGCAGCCACCCGCATCTATCGCCAAGCTTCCACATTCTGGCCGAGTGGTCCGATGTAGAGAAAGGAATATCTGGAGGATCTATATTACAGTCATCGGGCTAGAAATAAAAGAAAGGATTGGGCCGAATGTGCTACTTCCGAGGAATTGGGTCTATTGAGGGGGTGGGCGAGCAGATGACGTGTTGGATTTTGATATTGAAGCATCTGGATGGGTAGGCAGATTTGCTCATCGTTCTAAGTCTAAGTGACATATGAGAAGTATTTACCAACTACCTATTCATATCGTACTTACTGTGATATATAGTATACTACTTGTCCTATTAATTTATCATAAGGTAAAATGATATACGTTAAGTTGTATCGAAATAGAATATTTAAATATAATACTTTGATATTCACTACTACTTGACATGGTTTGCTGCAAGAGAATCTACGGGATATTCGCAATGATAATGGATACCCATCCTCCTTTGGGGCGATATTAATAATAAATGTATAGCGAATGACAAGATTGGGAACATAAAGTCCATTTGTATAGCTTACCAAGAGCATCAATCCTTCTTTGGCTACGTATTAGAATATAGGCTCTAATTGGTTTCGATTCTAGTTGCATATCCTATAAATTATAAATAATATGCACCCGCCTAAGCATACTAGACGTTTGAAGACTTACGTTTGGTATAACTAATCATATTAGGTACTAACCTAACGAGTTGTTAACATAAGGCCAACTAAGAAGAAAATGATTACAGATGACCTCCGTCCATTGAATGCTTATTTGGGAACCACTGAAGAACTGATATTAAAATAGTCCCTTTGTTTAGATGTTACCTATAATATATACTCGTGTCCCCATATGAAAGTACGGGACTAATAGTTAAGTAAATAAATGAAAATTATGGAACTTCTATTTTTTAATATCTACCTAGGTACTTATTGGTATTACGAAACCCCTATAACCAACACTATGCCACCATGATATATTTATAATGGTAAACTGAGCATATAGAATTAGTTAGGTATATCGATAATAGTCACTCACTTCTAACGCCCTGTAGCCAGTATCTCTCTTCTTACGCCCAGTCACGGTTTGATTACTGATTAGAAGTAGAATTGACTAGGTTAGACTTTAGAATTTGAAAGGTATTAGAGAAGATCTATCATTATCTACATCCTAACCTAGGTATGTAACCTAGGCCTTTAGCTTCAAAATTGGAGTTGGGGCTTGTAAGTTGAGTCGCGTGCATGAATCTAACTTAGTACATACCAAATCCAGTAAGTGGGTTGTGCGTTGCCCCGCAACGATCTGGCATACAGGTACAACGATACAACAAATGTTCGAGATGCGACGCGCACCCGGGCGAAACTCAAACTCAATATAATATCATTCATGCATTAAACCCTCTACGATAACTTCACCAAGTCCAATTCGAGAAGCAATTCTGTCATTTTGAAGCTTGTTGTTCAGCACGCCTCTGAGAACACTCTCTGCTTTGTTTACTTATCCAGATTGCAGCACGGCCCTGGGAAATCGGTGACAATGGTGAGTAATAGAAACCCACTTGGCAGCGGAGCTCCCTGCATCGATCGCCTCTCCTTGGTTTGTGATAGATTGGTTCAAATACTTATACCAAATACATAGGCTACACCAGCGGGTTACAAGCCATCGCCTCTCGGATACGGTTCTCCTCGAAACTCCCCTTTCCGACGACCAGAATCTCCCGCGTCACCCTCATCAATTAAATATACGACACCGACACCGTCGCCTTCAAAACCCACCGGCGTGCATACACCTTCTAGATTTGCTGCTACAGTAGAATCGCCTACCAGCTCGGACGGATTGACTCCTCGTGGATACGGTCAAACAAACGATATGCCATTCACACAATCTCTCTCTTCTCCCGTACATATATCGTCACGGACTCAAACGTCACTGCATTCTGCGGCTCAGGGGAATGCACTTTCTCAATTACAACCGGCACAGCTCCGAGTACTAAGGGATGTATTCCAGATCCTGGATAGAGACAGCGATGGTGTCGTAAATAGGGAGGATGTTGTAGACATGCTCAATCAGCTCGGTATGCCGCGTATCTCGTACCCTATGCCATTGAATATCAATACTAACATGGACGAACTTAAAGGACTGCCATCCAGCCAATCTGACGTCTCGCAATTCTTCCCATCAGCCGGTCCGCAAACGACGACCCTTGCGGTATTCCTCAACTCGATAGCTACGACACTGGCCGCGATGTCGCCGAGCACAGAATTACTATCAGCGTTCTCCGCCTTTGACGACGACGATAGCGGTCAAGTGGACTTCACCGAGCTGCGTGATGCTCTGTTACACACGGCGCCGGAATCAGGGGAGAGAGCATTGACAGCAACCGAGGTGGACAAGATCCTGCTCGGATTCAGTGGAAGAAGAGCTTTCAGCAAGAGTATGGCCGGCGGACTGAGCAAACGCGGTGAAGTATTCAAGTATCAAGAGTTCGTGAACTCCATCGTAGGTGGTAATGGATCGTCAGAGCCGAGTTCTCATGAGGCCTCTGAAGAGTGAAGTTGAAAAAACTTGATGAGAAGACCTAATTCTTGTACTATGTGCCGGAGTATGGGACGGATCGGGGTATTAGTCAGGGCTTCGTGAATAGGCATTTCTTGAGTGCTAGTGTTGTAAGGAGTTCTAGGCGGATGAATATGGCTATAACAGTTACTGCAATAGGCTACGTTGCGTTTTTAATACGAAGTGTTTTCGTATTCGGGGGCCTACAAGGCACTAGAATAGGGGGTTAGGGATTCTATTGAGACTAGACCTTGGGTTAATGTATTTCAGAGTGGTTGAGTTACCGGAAATAAAAATCGTTAGATATTAGAAAGTTGTACGTAGTCCACGCGATTGGGGTTTTATAAAGAAGTATATATAAGTTGGACTTGAAAATATCGAAGGAATGAGCGAGTATAAAACCGTACTTATCATGGCCACGCTACCTAAGGAGCCCTAGACAGAGAGACCTTACTGAATTTGGACCGGGGACATGGTCTATAGTTTGACAGGTTGCACTGTTGAACCAACAACTTACTACCAACTGCTAACTAACAAATACCAAATACCTGGGTGACACGAAACCATTTCATCCTTACCTATATTTGGTAGATCATGTGTTACGTGAGGATCGCAACTGATTCATTGTATGTACTTTAACTGACAAGGTCTGATATCGTTTGCTGTACTATGTAGTACAAACATAACGTTATCAATATCAGACCAGCCTCGCGATAAAACTACATGTTCTGATTGGTGTCTTGTAATTAGAAAATTATAGTCAATTAGAGTAAGAGAGGCGTTTACATACATGCATACATACATATAACGGATTGAGATCCACCCGGTTATCCCACGGGCCACGGAGGCCGCTAGGACACCCTATTACATAGGACACGTGAATTATCTCAACCTTGTCCCTGCATAAACTGGGTTTAGCGACAATGTTGAGCTACCCGGTTGAACAACCCGCGACCCGACAAGTTACATACGTATGTACATAGTGGCAGCTGTGTGGCAGGCCAACTTGATAACCTACTACATCTATATTACATAGTTTTATGGCTATGAGGTAGGTATACATATAATAGCATTTGCTATTGCGTCAACGGCTGGAGTTGAAACAAATCCACAAATCCACAAACCCACAGTAAGAGGAATAAGGACAGACTCGGTTACGGTCACGACTTGGCGGCTTGGCAAGTTCAAAGTCCCAATGCTTTCATGATACTGCCTACGGTCATGACGGTATCTTCCCTCTTCCCGCTGGCCCAAGCGCCCTAATACTTGAGACTCTCATATCAGATTTGTACCTTCCCCATAGAAGCTTCGAGAATTGGTTGAAGGGAAAGGGGTCCATTGGCTGGGGGAGAGTGGGCTGGGTTGTTTGGCTGCAGGGTCTTCTGCCGCCCTCGGAACGATCCTTGCGACCCTTGTCTGTCTTTTCATCTCGGCTTACCAGGATTGACGTCTCCGCGCACAGTGGTACAGTATGTAATAACAGCAGGTCTTAACGAGCCGCCAACGATGATATCAATTTGAGGTTTGATGAGACTCATATCAGAGGAGATAAACGCTGGAGAAAAGAGGCAGGATGGCAGGAGAGTTTCAAGACCGACGCAGAAGACAGAATGTCAGTCTGTTGCCAGAGCGAGCGTTGCAATTTACAAGCACAACGCATTGTTCAGCCTTTCCAATTCTAAGTGTGATGATGGCGATTGGCTTGGTAGGATGCTACGTGAGCAAGCGTTGCGGAGATATATAACCATTCAGAATGCCGGACTTGTGTGGTAAACGCTGAACAACTTGTAAACAAACCCATGCCCCTCATTTTGGGTTATTGGCCAACCGAATTCGGCCCCTCGAAGAATTGATCAACATGTATGGATATTGGTTAGAATTATAGAATAACAGTGCAGGTGGTTGATGTTGTTGAAAGATAGTGGTAGACCTAGTGGTTGCTGGCAGGATGCAGGCAACGGGTAGGAGTTACTACGTAGTAGCATGTTGTAGCGGGGTGGCTGGAGATTTCTAGAGTCCCGGTCATTGGAAAGTTGCTACTACTATTGATGTATGTATGTATGTATGTATATATTGTACATAGACGCTAGACACCAGACGGACATCCATTATGGATAACATCAATTAGGTACATGCATAATGTACATACATACATACATATGTACATACATACATAGTGTATGTATACATACCTGGCCTAACCTTACCTAACAGAGGTAGCGATATACATGACATAGTACATTCATATACGTAACGATGCCGGGCTAAGGCATATTCAGTAGAAAATGTACTAATAACCTCTGGTCAATGCACCGACCCGCTGACTGACCAAGTATTCGGGACTTCTTTTTTCTGGGTGCTTCTCCAAATTTCACAAATTTCAAATACCAGCCTGACGATTCTTGTTCTTATTCAATAGACGCAAGCACATCACTATCTGCTTTTGTGCAAGTTGGCTGTGCGAGAAGGCGAAGGTACCGTGCTGTCCCTGCACATTGGAAAAAAGTCTCGACAGGCTGATAAATCGTATCTTCCTTATTGTCATCTTTCACAATTCTTACATCTTAAACCATCTTTGGTTTTGACCGTCCCTTATAACCTTTTAACCTTCTTTCGTCACCGCTGCGCTTTCCCACAAACGCGGCCTCCCTAGTGCCCCTCAAACTTATTCGGGGATCTTCTAGTCACTCACTTACATTGAGGTTTAACCATTGTTGTCCTCCCAGCTCAGGCCTTCCGCCCCAGTTCGACCGAAAAACGAGAGAAAAAAGGGTGAACCAAAGAAAAGGTCCCTTTTCTCCTGCAGCCTGCGACTCGACCAGAGTTGGCTAGTATCCAAAGGGAAGGGCTAGCACGGCGGTGTGTCTTACAAGTCGGAATCACAGCGTAAGTGGTTTTATTCTTATTTTTAAAGCAGCATTTCATGCCGAATCCACTAGCAGTTGGACAGTCCAGGAACGCACCACTGAGAGCGCTGTGGTTCTTTGCATGTCAAACGTCAATTGGCATACGTAAACTTGGTGTTGCGAAATACGGATGAAACTTTATTTTTAATATTTTTTCTTATTTCTTATTTCTTATTTCTTGTCTTTGGGGAATTAACTAACCATTTTTTATTTCTTCGCACTAGAACCTACTAGGATCCAGCATCAAGCAGAAGGTTGTCGAACAGCGGAAAGAGCGTTTGAAGCGGGAACCATAGCGATTTATTATTACCTTGTCTTAGGTAATAATAGAGGTGTGGGAACTTTTTTTTTTTAATCTACGTACCGCGCTTGACTAAAGCCGAAAACCTCCATTCCAAATGAAGGGCTTATTCAACTCGAAAAAATCCCCAAAGAAACAAACTGCAGGCGATAGCAGCGAATCTCACCACTCCCCCAATTACCAGGACAAGCCACAGCCTCAAATTCCTCGCTCAGAGCAAACTTCTTCAGCTGCAAAGCCTTCCATCAGCTCTACTAGATCGTCCCCCACCAAAAAGCCCTTGCGCCCCGCATCGCCTTCCCAGAGGGAGCAGCCTAAATCGCGAACTTCTCGCTCTTTTGCGAGACATCCTAGCGACCAGGGCTCTTCTTCGAGGAGAAGCAAAATCGATAACGATATCCATCCTCTAAATTTGCCTCCCGAGGAGCTCAAGCGCTTATCTGCTCAGTATAATATGAACAGTAGGAATTCCGTCGACAAGATGGATCTCGACAAAGATACCCCGGCCGTACCTCCGACCTCGCCACCTCCCCTACAAACCCAATCTTTTACTATTCCTGTAAACCCTTCTCCTACGAATGGAGTGAAGAAGGATGCGAACGAGGAGACAGAAGGCCCGGCTCCTCCGCCTCATAGGTCGAACCCTTCTAGTCCGGTTCCTACAGATGCGGAAACGGCCGAGGCTCACAAGGCTGACGGAAATAGATTCTTCAAGCAGAAGGATTATGCACGAGCAATTGCCGAGTACACGAGTGGTATGCTCTTGCGAAGTCACCTATTGCGCGTTTGAAAACTGACACATATACTAGCTATCCAGCTTATGCCTAACGAACCTACATACCTTAGCAACCGTGCCGCGGCTCTCATGTCTGACCGCCAATATGAGGCCGCTCTAGACGACTGTATTCGAGCTGTAGACTTAGACCCCCATAACCCGAAGTACCTGTTACGTTTGGCTCGGATTTACACTAGTTTAGGACGTCCTGAGGAGGCAATGACCACTTTTGGGCGTATTCAACCTCCTGCTTCTGCCAAGGATATGGCTGCCGCTAGGGAAATGCAGCATCACGTCAGAGCAGCCCAGGATGCCCTTGACCGTGGCACAAGTGGCTCTATGGTTTTACACGCTCTGGATCAGGCTGAGAAGTTGCTTGGCCATGGAGCGAGCAAACCTAGAAAATGGCAACTGATGCGAGGCAACGCATATCTCAAAATGGGAGGTGCTAACTCCTTGGGAGAAGCGCAGAATGTAGCAATGTCAATTCTAAGGCAAAACAATCTGGACCCGGAAGCATTGGTGCTACGAGGACGTGCACTGTATGCCCAAGGAGAGAATGATAAGGCTATCACGCATTTCCGGAAGGCGTTAAGTTGTGATCCCGACTTTAAGGAGGGTGTGAAATGGCTTAGAATCGTCCAGAGGCTGGACAGGATGAAGGAGGAGGGCAATACGGAGTATAAGGCTGGACGATGGCAAGCTGCTTTCGACAAGTACTCAGCTGCTCTAGAGGTTGATCCCGCTAACCGAGGCACCAACTCGAAACTCTACCAAAACCGGGCCCTCTGCCGACTTAAGCTAAAGCAATTCGCCGAAGCGATTGCCGATTGCGACCGAGCTTTCAACTTGGACCCTTCGTATATCAAAGCCCGAAAGACGAAGGCTAACGCGCTGGGTCAAGCGGAGCGGTGGGAGGATGCCGTTCGCGAGTGGAAGTCGATCCAGGAGTTAGATCCCGAAGACCGAAGCATCGTCAAGGAAATTCGCAGGGCGGAGCTGGAGCTTAAGAAGAGCCAACGGAAAGACTATTACAAGATTCTCGGTGTTGGTAAAGATGCCGACGAGTCTGCTATCAAGAAAGCTTATCGCAAGCTTGCCATCAGGCACCATCCGGACAAGAACCCCAACGACGACGCGGCCGCTGAACGTTTCAAGGATATTGGCGAAGCTTACGAGACCTTGAGCGACCCTCAGTACGTATCAGCCCCTTATTTCTAATATTTCTTTTACTAATTATCTCGTAGAAAGCGTGCTCGCTACGATAGCGGAGACGATCTAATTGACCCCTCCGACATGTATGGCGGTGGCATGGGTGGTGGTATGGGCGGCGGCATCGACCCGGAGATCCTCTTCAGTATGATGAACGGCGGTGGCTCCTTCGGCGGCGCACAAGGCTTTGGCGGCGGCGGTTATGGTGGTCGCTCGCGTCCTCAGGGTTTCCCAAGTGGATTCCACTTCGGTTGACAATCCAGGCCTGGAGAGGATATCGATGGCGATTCTGATTATGATCGAGACGTTAGCTCCGAGAATGAGCGAGCACCTTGGGGCCAATTTGAGCAGGGATTTTCCCATGGCGTGACTTTAGACGAGAGGATTACTCAATTCCGCTGGTCCTTGATAGCA